TGAATCGTACAGTCAGCTCACTGGAGGCTTACTAGACGGTCAGCTGAATCGTACAGTCAGCTCACTGGAGGCTTACTAGACTGTCAGCTGAATCGTACAGTCAGCTCACTGGAGGCTTACTAGACGGTCAGCTGAATCGTACAGTCAGCTCACTGGAGGCTTACTAGACGGTCAGCTGAATCGTACAGTCAGCTCACTGGAGGCTTACTAGACGGTCAACTGAATCGTACAGTCAGCTCACTGGAGGCTTACTAGACGGTCAGCTGAATCGTTTGAAAACGGTCAGTTTAATAGTACGTAGTGTCAGCTCACTGGAGGCTTACTACCTTTAATTAAATCCATATGAGCAGCAGACTTCCACAGCATATGGATTCCACATCAGACTTCCTCATATAAACCTCTATTTGAGGTGGGTATCTACAGCATCATCAGAATCTACTGGCACATCTACCCCGTAGCTCAGGCTTGGCAAGATCACGCGGCACGCGTTGGCAAGCGGTATATAGGGGCGATGTCCCGCACGCAAGCACACGCGAAGCATCGCAATAAGAACGCTAGACATCTGACGTTAGTTCAACGGTGATTAAACGTTTTAACGTTAACTTAGCGCTCAAATAACGTTGCTTTAACGTTATTTTCCTGAAGAGATACAACCTATTGGACAATTGATCTTTTTTATAGCAATGTTAGCTTAGTGAGGGAATGACACTTCGTTTTCAAATCGCACCACTTCTTTCGTTTTTGAAAGTCTTATACTGCTAAGCATGCATTTATTTTGTGGATAAGACGCTGTGCTAAAAAATATATTAATTTACGTAATTTTTTGTCTTTTCAGTTTTTTACTCATTCCATTATGATATCATTTCATTTTCAACAGAATTAGTACTGGCTGAATATTCATATGCAAATAGCAGTCAACAAATGCATATATATGGTTGTTGCTCTCTTAGTTTTAACGAGATCCATGACTTTTCCCGCTTTCTAAATTCTACGATACTCTGGCTACTGCGACTTTTATTCACTAACGACCACATTAATTGCTTGTAACGGCATTTCGTTCGCTAAAATTCTCCATATAATCCTTATAGTAAACATTTTATTCTAGAATGAGAGGCTCACTCAGCTAAATGAGCGAAACTTTATCCAAATAACGATGCATTTTCTGCCCGGTGCGGATCATATTGACCCAGTTCGACTTCAAAAAGGACATATCAGTGCTCTATACAAGAAGTGAGTCACTATTTGGACAATATAACCCATTAATTTGTCTATGTGCATGACACGAGGTGTGCGTCGAGCCAACTGCTCCACAGCCAAGTGAGTCAGACCACCTGCCGGGATATCATGAGCGTCACGCTTTCTCTAAGTCAATATTTACGAAGAAATTTAAGTAAGCATTGAACGAAAGAAAGCATCGTAAGAAAATAAGCATAGTAACGTGATCGCATATCCACATCTCGAGCTGACACTTGTGCGTGCATGCGCGTATAAGCCTCACGCATAGAAATGACCTCTCAGAATAGAGTCCTACTGTATCCTATAGGAAACAGTTGTTGCAATCTTGATGTATCCTACAGAATACAGTAGATCTAAAAATTATGGATTGCTGAAATGAAATTTTTCTTATATTCCTGGAATAACTTATATTGCTTACTATCGCATTCGTTGTCATTGCACGGGATGCATGATAGAAAATGTATTATGTAGCAATTTACGGGTTATAAATAAATCAATAATCAGTACAATTCTTCAAAATCCACCATAAGATAGACACATAGAAAACCCATACACAAAGTTTATGTTCAAGCATAACATACATTAATAACACTTATGAATACAATTTCTGCGACAATTCAACAGATAAACAATTGTGAGAAATACGCATAATAATGTAAATAGAGAAACGCAACAGATACATAGACAGACAAACGCAACATATACACAGACAGTCAAACGCAACAGATACACAGACAGACAAGCGCAACAGANAGTACAGGGTTTGGCTTCCTCATTCATATTCAGTAGCAAAGATCCTCGCGACTGTAGAGGCATACTTTAAGGCTATTCTGTACGTCTGAGGAGGATAACAGCAATTCTTCCACCAACAAGATGCGGTGTAACAGCTATGAAGATCTGCCAAGTCTCAAAAGTGCACAAGCAAAAAAAAAACAGAATTACAAAGATTTAGAACAAGCAGGTAAGGTATACATGATGACTTAAAGCTGGATTACAAAGATCAAGAATGCATACGTTCCAGCTGGATTACAAATTATGCACGCAATTTTTATGCGTGGTCCTCCATTTTAATGAGTAGGCCTCGGAGGCTGATGACTATCGAGTAGTATTTCTTTTTAAATTAACCTGAAGTCCAGAAACTGCATACCATCTATCTAAATAGCCGCTTATTCTCAAATGTCCACTATGTGGGAGCCCCTGTTCTGTCCGTTGGCTGGGCTTGACAAATGAGCTTGACATTCTTATACACTAATTATGTTATCAAGAATAAAATAAGGATAAGGTTCATAATGCCGGTTTTCTGCATAATTTGTGGAAATACTCTGGCAGTCATGGCTTCCATTCAACCAAGGAAATTTTCGCCACTTGCTGGTATTTAAGAGAGAACACGCGAAAAAAATGCGATCAAAACATAAGAGAATTCGAGACGTTGAGGGAGAAAGTGAGAATCATGCTTGGCTGACGGCCGCTGCGACGCCTGGACTAAGACCACCACTTCAGTTAACGATGCTAATATGTGGAAAAGTTTGTTACATAATACGGATAATTAACATACGGAAACATAATTAACACACGGAAAGTTTGCACTACATACAAAATTTGGAACATTTTTGTTCTAATTCAGTTAAACTTTCTCTGTAACGAAAAAGGGTTTGCTTTAACTGTTAAAGCAAACACTTTTTCGTTACAATTTCCAACGATGACTACTGAACAATTGAAGCAAGATTTTCTTAAGCGCTCTAATGTGTGAAATAAACTAAATTCTATGTTAAATTATTCGTGGAACAGCTTTGATAGAAGCCTAACATCCTTGTAAACAAGAGTGCGAAACAAAGTTCCTAGCCACTCTCCTGCCAGTGCTTCGTCGTGTTGGAGTTAGCGTCTGAAGTTCAGACCTTACTACCTAGGTATAAAGAACCTCACCTTAGTCACACATATCAGAAGCAGCAGCAGCAAATTGTATGTATACCACTCCTTCCGTCGTCTCTTTCTTCGTATGTGGGTTATCAATTTCAACATTATTTTATCTAACATTGTGGTTTATATCATAACATCGTTGGAATTTTCAAGTTGAATCTCTTGAATCACCGGATTCGCAGCACCTGAAATGATCTTTTACAGTGTGAGCCTAGATTCCAGGTCACACGTTTTTTATCACTTCCGAATTTCACTTAATAAATCACTTTACCTTAACTAGTGGCTCTCAAAGGTATTAATAAAAAAATCCACATCACTGTAAACGACTACGAACGTTTATAACGAATAACTGCTGGGCCGAAGCCATTCAATTTCAGCTCACTTCACACGCACACCCACACTTCACAATGGCCTGAGCTGCACTGACTCTCACCTGTTCAGTTTTTACCTGAAATCGCCACCTTCTCTCAAGACTCAACCGCATTGTTCATTTTCGTTCAAAGAGTTAACTCTTTCCTCCACAAAATTTTCAGAAGAAATCAATTGAAATTTCATTCGAATGTACGCTTCAGTGTTTTTTTTTTGTGATCATTTTATCCTGTATAAATGCTGATGTTCTTGGAGCCTCCCAGTTTACGAAGTCTTTCTCAAGGCGATCGGCTTGAGAAGCAAGTTTTTTTATTGTGAAAGAAAACTGCATTTCTTAGAGAGACGGTTAAAATATTAACAATCGAAAATTTGGTAGTATTTTGTCCCATTAGAATTTCTCTATGATTGAAGTCCAGTTATGAGAGTGGTTTTAATTTAAATTTCGCTAGCAGGGGTTAATTTCATTCTGACATGTAAGAGTTGCGCGTCAGTGAGTAGGAATTGTGTTAATAATAAATATAAGAAAAACAATGCAATTTCTCTTTATGCATTATATTATAAATTAATTACATTTCTGTGATTAATATAATTTATCGATGATTTTCAATAATATTGAGCAAACAAAATATAATACCGTTACCCTAAATCCTCAGATGAATGTTTAATTATTAATTTTCTTGTCTTGAATCTCGATCTGTAAAATACACAGTATTCATAAATTTGACCATTACGGTATTTTTTTCATCCGATTGTGATTAACTAAAACGATATTGATATTTTTCAGTTTAGCGGAATAGATTACATTAGATAACTTGTGACACCAATATCATACAAGGATGAAATCCATGGTTGAACCATGGATGTTATCTATTTAATCTTCACATCACGTGAGAAATATTTGTACAGAAAATTCCAATTTCCGAATTCCCACGGATAACCTTGAATCTATTACCATTTATATATGTTACTCCTCAACATCTTTCTGTAAAATCGTATGTACAAAATTTTCTTCATTTTTTGAGGGTACAATCAACTATTGCCAGCAATAGAATATTTCGCTTTGTTGTAATTGTACATATCATTAATAATTAATAATGGTCGGCTTCCTTCATATCTGCCAGTCAGTAATGCCAATTCAGTGAAGTAAATTAGTTTTTTAATGTTGATTTAAATTATTTTGCTCTACAGTGGAAGTATGAAATCGAAGTGACTGAAACCGGATCGACACTTCAGCGAACTCAAGCGCGAACTCAAGCGCGATCTCAAGAGGCAAACCTAACTTCACCTTCAACTTACCCAGTCATAAATCCATAAATACCGAACGGATTTCTTTCAAATTTGAAATATTAGAACAATGAAACGACGACCGAATTGACACTTTAGCGAACTCAAGCGCGAACTCAAGCGCGAGCTCAAGAGGCAAACCTAACTGCACCTTCAACTTACCCAGTCATAAATCCATAAATACCGAACGGATTTCTTTCAAATTTGAAATATAAGTAGATAATATTAGTATTTGCGGACAGATTTATTTCAGATTTTTACATCAAATACTTTTATATTAATACGGAAAACATGACTTCATTGTAAGTTGAAGGTGAAGTTAGGTTTGCCTCTTGAGCTCGCGCTTGAGTTCGCTAAAGTGTCGATTCGGTGAAACGACGCGTCAGTCATCATGGATGAGTCAACATTAATTAAATGACGTGATTTTAACTTCGTATTTATTCTTGTAATATTTTCTTGAAAACTCTTTTTCATTTATTTCAAATATTTAATCAATAGTTTCAATTTGACAACAATAATTACGGCAAGTATAACGCTTGTCTAAACTGACTAATTCGCTGAATTTAATAATCTCTTCTAAAACGGCAAAGAGAACGGCAGAGAGAATTTGTAAGTAATCATTCAACTAAACGGGCAGTACTCTAAAAAAACGGTTATTTAATCTCATGAAGTAGTCATCACATCGCTTACTTCACGTGCATTTTGAAAATTTTGTATATAATATATGATATTTTTCCAATAGAGTGATGAGGTATGCAACACAATCAGTGGAAATCTCCCACTACTTCAGCACAGAGATGTGTCTGTTCGAGATGCCGGCTGCCCCAGACGTCTCAGTCGAGCTACGTAGGACTAAAAGGCACAAGTTCAGGCTAGTTCTATTTGGCTTAACATTGGTTACTGGGGTGTAGAATTAAGAATGTGCTTATGTCACAAAGGTGTATTTAATGCTAACCTAGTATGCGTAGTTCCTCCCAAAGAGTTCAATGGTTCGTTTGCACATATAAATTCAAATTTGTAATGCTGGCCTATTGTGCCTTTTGTAATAATATGAACAATGGTTGATAATTCATAGAAAATAAAGGCAATTTATGAAATAATTGTATTTAGAATGCAATTGTTTGCTATAGATGCCATGGCAATATAACTCACTTGATGCATGTGCAGTAAACACTCATACTAAACACGCGCTGACAGTGCAGTAGTTTAATCTATCTAATAAACGTTGGAAGTTATGGCTCATTCTCATCGATTTGCTGCCCTTATTATGCAGGCACTTCTAATTTGCAGGTACAACACTATCAAGTAAAAGGTAACTTCAGTACACTATATCGAATGCATTTTCGACGAATATTCTTGATTATGTAAAGAAAACTCTTGCAAAATATGATTACAAACTGCAATTGCCTCCAGTCTAAGTTTGCCCAGTCCAGTTCTATGTGTCATGGACATGTATGGCTGAATTTTTCAGTCCGTCGGCGATATTAGGCATCGACCGAACCTCTTCATCGATTGTCAGGAGCAACACAAAGCCTTACATACATCCGGATATTTCAGGCCGTCTATGCAACTGCACACGTAAAGGAATTTCGCAGACATTTACTGTCATGTTGCAGCCACGTGGCCGTCACGCCGCCTGAACTGAACCTGCTTATCTCGACTATAGAGGTAAGCTGCTCGAGCTTTCGGCCGTGACCTTTCACGACTGATAAACATGGCGACAATACTACCATAAAGTCTCTCGGCATCCTAAAACATCGATACAATATGCGTTTTTTTCACTTTTCTCTCAAATAGATAAAGGAAAAAGAGCTTTAGGAAATCCATCTCGTCTTTAAAAACACAGATCAAGTGTGGGTGCCGAATGAGGTATGCGATCACATATGCTTTTTTATATTTTTGTTTTAAACTCGAACTTTCATGCTCCTAACACATCTAAATCTAATTTTCATTTACTGACAACCGGCTATTATGATGACATTTTTCATGGCAGTGAAAATTCTCATTATTGTGATATTTTTCAAAACTCCTTAAAAATAGTAAATAAATCATGTATCCACCCCTTCAGAACAGAAGCATGGGTTGAGCAGTGTGAGTGGTGCAAGTTCTGGCGAGGTGAAAACGGAGCTATTAGTCTTTCCATACACGTACGTTCAAGAGCGACTGAGAGTTCTCATTGTTGAACGCGTTAGAAATGTTCTACACATCAATAACCCATAGAGTGCTAGAATCAAAATATTACTCTACTTTCATATTTATATATATATGTTTAAAAATAGTAATGTATAGAAGGTAAACACTGATTTTATTACTCTACTTTCATATTTATTACCATAAGATAGCAGGATAAGCTTATTTAAACACGAGTGGTTAATGACCAGAGAAGTCATTGATTTAAATCAATGATTTCTCTGGTCATTAACCACTCGTGTTTCATATTTATATACAGTATATGTTTAAAAAAAGTAATGTATAGAAGGTAAACACTGATTTTGAAATATGTAAAACTAACAAGAATAAATGACGCTCAATTGTAACCATGGGTAAAATAAAAATGTATTCATGCACTTGCCGTAGTCCTTCTGTATTATTAGAGAAGTGAATGTGTAATATCGATAATTCATCTTCGACAGCACCTGCATTTACAATTCACATATGGCCAGACGATCTAGGTATAAGTTGCCTATCAAATCGATGAGCCTCCTTAATTGTTCGTGCCGTATTCATAGGATTTTCATCAAAGCGCAGATAAAGTCATGATATCAGTCGGAGCTCTGACTTGGTCATACGATTTTCATCAGCCAGCCGTTCATATGAGAGGATGATTTGGTATAAAACACTGAGACGTGGCACCACCACTCGACTGAGTCGACTCCACCAGCAGCAGTTGGGGTCCAGCGGTTGTAGCGGGAGTGTGTCGTCGGTTGTGCAGCCATAACAACTCTCGTCGATATTGTTTTGCGTCATATTAAAATAGTATAAATGTATACCGTTATGAATTTTACAAGTGTGCTAGCTTGAAAGGAAATACGCTGTCGTTTCTGTGGATTATTCATAAAAATCTTACTCAGAGAATATTAGATATTCATCCAGCCTTACTAGACACTACTGAGTTCTAAAAGGATATTGCCGCTGACGCTGATTTATGTACTTACTCATCTGCCCTGATTGGATTTCACCAACTATTTTGTTGATCGTTATACGATTTCTGCCTTACTCTACCAGCTGACCTTTATTATCTATTCCCTGATTCAAAGGACTAACTCGCTTCATTCACTTGTGAATGTTTAGCTTAGCAACATTGAAACTAAGTATCACGAGCACCGGCAATCGGCAATCGCCGACTTGCAAGCTCATGACATGTTTGAGCAGCGTGGTCGGGGGTCTGATTATTTTCTCATTAATACGCTTGTACTCGGATGAAGTATTGGCGGCCGGTATAACTTTCAAATGTTAAAATTACTACTATTTATTATGCCAATGGCTTCTCGCAAAAGGTTATAGAGGCCTTCCGTGGCCAGTTAGGGACAATTCAGGGGTGCAGGTTATTCTTTTTTTTTTAGATCCAAAACCTAACTCCATCTGAGGATCGGCAATAGGTAGTCAACTTGTCAAGTCCACGTGTGTGTCAAACGTGTCAAAAAATCGCTAGTTGACAACAAATTCGAGTTTACCCATTTTGTTTTTACATGAAAAAGAAGCCCTTCTCATTTTGGTAGAACCAAGCCGCATAAACGTCAAGTATAATACTTCACTTCAACAAGCCACCTAAAATTTTCCGAAGATGTTGCCATAAAGCGGGGAGTATTATCCATTTAATATCCAAGTGCACTCAATGTAATACCGTACAGCGTTCACAGACGAACACATACCAATATAGACAGTTCCTTTTTAGTTGCAAACTTGCAATCGCCTTTAGAAGAATCAGAATTAACATTGCAGCTCTTTGTATGTATCTATTTCATGTAATTAGTCGCCAAAAATTAAAATGTCGTTGCCTATTAAAAAAGAATTAATTTTTGTTATAGGATATTTGAAAACTACATTTATCTTCATAATTGCACGCAATTAAATCTTGATCGTTGTGATTTACCGCAGTATACCGTAGGTACTCTACTGTTTTTACACGAAAAAAGTCATGCCTTACGTGCATTGATTGTGTTGTGTTAAATTCGTAAAATACTATAAATTCAGTTTAAAAATAATAATACAAATAGAAGTTATTTTTCTATAAAGTTTATACGATGGGTCCTCCAAAAAACTCAAATGACGTCATCTCCGCGCCTACCAGCGGCAACAGCAGCCCGAGGACGCGAAACAAAATGAAGCAGTACTGGCAGGTGATTAAATGAAGCAGTACTGGCAGGTGATTAAATGAAGCAGTACTGGCAGGTGATTAAATGCAGCAGTACTGGCAGGTGATTAAATGAAGCAGTACTGGCAGGTGATTAAATGAAGCAGTACTGGCAGGTGATTAAATGAAGCAGTACTGGCAGGTGATTAAATGAAGCAGTACTTGCAGGTGATTAAATGAATCAGTAATGGCAGGTAATTAAATGGAGCAGTACTGGCAGATGATTAAATGAAGCAGTACTGGCAGATGATTAAATGAAGCAGTACTGGCAGGTGATAAAATGAAGCAGTACTGGCAGGTGATTAAAATGAAGCAGTACTGGCAGGTGATTAAATGAAGCAGTACTGGCAGGTGATTAAATTCGGTGTATAATGTTCTCATACTCTGCGCTGGCTGGTAGGACTCGACATTAAGAAATAAATCGTTCTCGTCCTTCGCTCATTCCTGTTAATGCCAGGATAGTTTTATCTTAAATAGATTAATTTTGTTGCCGCATAACATTGTTTTTTTCCGAAGAAAGAATCTTTTTCCATTTGATTTATTCATTGGTCGTTGGGCTGATCAGACGTAAGAGCTTAGCTGTTTTATACAGGCAATTTGAACCTTGAATATTGAATTATAATTAATCAAAGCTTCTTTCAGTTATTACGACTCTTATCGGGTGAGTTGTGGGTACTCAAGCTGGGTGCCGATATCGGGTGAATCTAAGTGATATATTTTTTCGATTCAAACATAGTATGTTTGAATGATAATTTAAAAATAAAATTTAAATTTTTGATCCAATTCTTTCACTCCACTTTTGCAATGCACTGTCATTCCTCCACTTGGAATAAATTTTCATATCCTGATCGTATTTAATTTATTTAAAGGCGACCTTTTGATGGATGCCTGGTTTTAGAATCGGCATCGTTAACATATAACACTCCGTACCGACTGAAAACATTTGATCAATCATTCATCATCCATGACACTGAACATACAGGGTGATTCACGGAAACTTCATTTTTGTATTTTGCGCCAAGCAGCCAGATATTGTAGGAAAACGGCGGGGAGCATTTCATATCAAAGGTAAGGAAGTTTTGTGTCCCGCCTAGTCAGTTGCCACTATGCATTGGATAAGTGAGCAGCGTGCGTTTGCTATTGAGACGTACTCCTCAAATGCCCTATACATTATCGCTACCGTACTCAACTAGCATTCCGTACTTTATTCCGTATTCGTCCTTCAGGTCCGGGTCCTGATCGGAAATCGATTGTTACGTAGGTGAACACATTTAGGGCAAGTGGAAGTGTAAATGCAAGAGGGTCTAAAAGTCAGCGGACTGCAACAACACCCGAAAACGGAGAGAGAGTTAAAGAGGCGTTAGTGCGTTCTCCACACCTTCTGAGACAACATTTTGCAGATCGCCTCATCTCCTTAAGAGGTGACCTTCTTTGGCCGGCCCGATCTCACGATTTTGTTCCGTGTAATTTCTTTTCATTGGGTTATCTTAAATCAATTGTTTATAATGACTGTCCGAGGACCCAACCTCATTTGAAGAACATACCTACCCCAAGCTATCGCCAACATACCCTTCAATATGCTTCAGCGAGTTGAACGGAACTTCAAAAATCGACTAACTGAATGCTTTGACAATGAGGGCCGTCATTTGTCCGATGTCATCATTAAACATGAGTGATACAAAAATCCAGGTTATATCTTTTTCAGTAAACATTATGTTGTAATGATATCTTTATTAAATCTTTTTTTATCGAGCTTTTAAATCAGGAAGTTTCCGTAAATCGCCCTGTTTTTTGTACATGGTTTACCGGGCATGAGTACTTTATTTAACAATTCTAAATAGAGTAGATACTGAACATTGTTGTTGGTTGGTTTTAAGTTAATTCTTCAGGTAACAATGGTTTTTGTTCAGACGCTACACGACGCTACTCAGCAAGAACGGAGTGCGCGAGCTCACCGCTGTCGACTTCATGGAGTCTTACGTAGAAGAAAACAGGAAGAGGAATGGCCACAACAGCAACATTTCCTTTCTGTGCGCCGACGTCACTGCGTAAGTGTTTGGATTAACTAAATGCATGGTCCTATTTCAGATGAATTGTAACGCAATGTGAACACAGAAAACTGTATTATCCGTAAAGCGATTATTCATTTACTGTGGGCTGACTTTAAATTCCGTGTATGCGGATAAATGTCAGTTACTGGATTGTCGAGGAAAAAATTTATTCATGCCTGGCAACTAGCCGTATTAACATTTACTGTTGCTTCATAGATAGATTTCTTACTGTCCTCGTAATGCTGAATATCTTGGCATTAGCAATAAATACTTATGATGTGATCTCGATGCTGAGTCTAAACAGCTAAGCAAAACTGCAGTAACGACCGGTTATAGGGCCTAGTCATTAGAACAAGAAAATGCCGGAACCAATTGTACCCTATGAACTATGATAGTTGATCTTGAAGGCCATCGGTAGTTTAGCCCTAACATCAACGGAATAATATTCTAGTTTGAACAGATGAGCTAATTCCCGTTATTATGCTTGTGAAAATATTCTAGTTATCACGGCGCTAAACATCTGAACTACGTAGTAAAACTGTGTTTCATACATGAAACCTCAATTATTTTCTTTCTAGATTTATTTTCTAGTAAAATCCTTCACGTTTGTGGATAAATTCTCAAAAAATTTGTGAAATGGAGATTGGACAAGATTTGTGCACTTCCTGAACTTTTAGCAAAAGTGCTTACTTAACAATCCTGAAAATTGGACAAAGTATGTGCACTTGACAATACGGAACATTGGACAAATTTAATGCCTTTGGCAAAACCAAACATAGGACAAATGAATGCATATAATAATGCTAAACATTTGACAAAGTAAATGCATTTGACAATATTAAACATTGACCGAAGTTTTAGCACTTTACGTTGCGGATCATTTTAGTATATTTATTTATTTGATAACACTAAACATTGGTGAAGTGTGTGCACTTGGTACTATCGAGCGTTGGACTCCCTTAATTGGAATGTACCTCGCATGTCCGTGTTTCAGGTATAGGGTTGTTTCTATCAGTTTACTCGCGGCTGCCGATATACAATCTTCGTAGTAGCCCTAGCCATTGTGTTCTGGCTATAATGTATAGATTTATAATTCTAATATATAGAGTTCTGGCTCTCAACATATATGTCGTGTAGAAATTGTCGAATTGCTGATTCTATGGAAGCGGCAGCTAGTTTGCAGAATCTGTAGAATTATTTCGTTGCTGATTCAGAAAATTGGACGTTAGAGTAAGAGTTAGAAGATAAATCGACAGTTAGAAATAGAAAAGGTTAGGTCAAGTTTGGTCAAGTTCCTTTATATTTAAATGTAGAAAAAAACTTGGCTGACTGACCTAACCCTAGATTCCTATAGTAGATACATAAATGCTGATTCTGCAGATTCGGCAAACTGGCTGCCGATTCCATCGAATCGGCAATTCCGAGATTTCGGTACGATATAAATTCACGTACGTCTTAGTGACCGTCACGGTAAAAGCTAGTGTGAGGTCACCCAGCGTTCAGTATAACATATATTTTTTCGATTCTTTCCATTTTTCTATTTAAATTGCAATGAAAATCGTTCGATATCACTGGCTAGATTAAATCACTGATACTTGACAGATTTAGAAAGTTCAGTCGTGCATGAGCAACGGTTTTCGTATGTTATTATTTATGTGTTGCATCTTCATTGATTATTTATAGTAATTTTTTTGTCTGAAATTAGAATGCATATACCATTACAAAATTACTATTATTGTACTGCTTCAGCCGACTCAAGCCTTCGTTGAGTTCGCTGGGCAATCACGTCTACAAGGATTAGCTGACTTCTATGGCCTCCCTGGCTTCTTGTATAACCTGCGCGAAAGCTAATTCTGTAGACATTCTTTTTTCCATATCATCTAAACATAATATGGAACATGAACTATTGGCTAGGCAATTCTAGCGACTTTCTTATTATTAATATAATTTTAGCATAACGTGTAACACGATCTGATGAACGTTGTACTACGGATCCTCTATAATGTTTTGTTTACCATGTCAAACTAAAAAATATTTTTGGGGTGTGTGATATAATACGGTAATAGAAAATTCAAACTCACGAGAAAAAATAAAATCACTGAAGAAAATATTCACTCGTTTTAACAACTTAAGTTTAAAGTTCTGAAGTTAACAAGATTGTCTGCGGACGAGAGAAAGGTCGACCATAAAAGCGATTATATTCAACAGAAAAAAATGGATTGAATTCAGCGTTTTTTTATGGAATTGTTTGTTGTTTTAAATCGAGCATCGAACTCTGATATATGATGAGAAACATATCCTTATTACTACCGTGAAATTTGTCAAAATTTGAAACAAGCACTTGAACGCTCAATGTCACAATTGTATCAAATTATCAGCAGGGCGGTAACTTGACTTACAGGACGAAGCATGTTTGATTTTTCAACCATTTTGTTATACACAGGTGTCTTCAATAAGGATGAAATCTTACACTTACGTAACAATACCTGCTGTAGCTCGCTTCTAATTCTCAACATGTCATCAGCCATAACCCTAACCATACATCAGCCATCATAACCCTAGAATGCTTAGGCGATTTTAGTAAGTTTCTTACTTAATACGTGCACAACACAGGCTAGCCGAATAAGCAACGTATCTTTTGTTGCATCCGTATTTTCAATAAGTTCAATACGTAATACTTACATGACACGGCTGGTTGCCGAATAAGCAACGTATCTTTTGTTGCATCGGTATTTTTAACAAGTTCAATACATAATACTTACATAACACTACTGGCTTTCCGAATAAGCAACGTAATCTTTTGTTGCACCGGTATTGGCTTTTGTTGCACCGGTATTGTCAATAAGTTCAATAAATAATACTTACACGACACGGCAGGCTGGAGTTCGCGGAAGGATCGTTCGACATGGTGTTCAGCAACTGGCTGCTGATGTACCTCACAGACGCCGAAGTGGACGCTCTGCTGCAGCGGGTGCTATCCTGGCTCACGCCCCAGGGGCATCTCTTCATTAGGGAGTCGTGCTTCCATCAGTCAGGTTCAGTTCTCCAAATGCATCAATTACGTGAAGTTGACATTGTTATATCATAGTATTATGTATTGATTAGATGCCCAATTTGTATGCTAAATATTTAGTTTCATTCTATTATATTCTCAAAATGTCATGTTTTCCGTTTACTTCGATTAATTTAATCTGTATGTATTGAATTGTTTTCAGGGTAAAATCTACTAGCGGAGTCCTTTTAATTGTTTGCATATTTCTTTATTCAAAAATATTCAGACGTTGGGATACATTTTTGCTTGGTAATTTTGGTATAAATTCAACTTTTTTATCTTATCAAGCTATATAAATATTTATATTCTTTCGCGTAATGTGCTAAAACCAGACTAACAATGTATTGTATTATTCTTTTTTTTAATTACACTAACAAAACGATGAGAAGTCCATACCTAATCGCTTTGTTCGTTTTAAGTAATGCAAAGAGAATTATATTATGCTAGATTCATGATTTAAAATAAATTCAATAAAACAATGCTGGCGTAGGCAACATGGAGCGTGCTGAGAACCCCACGTCTACTTTATTCGTTTAAGGCAATAAAAACGGACAATAATAATTAAGGGACGATTATTCTGCTGCATTAATGCATAAACTAAATTCAATAAAATAATGTATAATTAAGGGACGATTATTCTGCTGCAATAACGCATAAACTAAATTCAATAAAATAATGCTGACGCAGGCAACGTGAAGCGTGCAGAGAACCCAACGTTCTACCGCTCGCCGCTTCAGTACGCGACGAGTCTCAGCCGCTGCTGTACCCCTCAGGACGACGTCTACCGTCTCGTCAAGGCTAAGAGCATACAAGCCTACATCAACGTTAGCTTCTTATTTAGATTTAGTTATTCGTTTAGCCATATTTCTGATATATTTCTTGAAAAACTTGTAAAATTCCTAGTTAATGTTGAAAATTTTCGTACTGATGAAATGCGTGTGGATGCAAATTCATGATCTGAAATATTCTCACCCTGACATAAATTATATGTCTCTGAAATGCCCCTAATGTCACATATATGCCTAATGCGCCTAATGTTATATGCCTAATGCGCCATTTTAATTATTGTTTTGGCTAATTAATTCAAATATTTATGGAATTAATAACGATGAACAATATTTGCAGCACTACCGCAACCCGAACCAGCTGTGCTTCTTGGTCCAAAAAACCTGTACCGCGTCGGGGGGCGGCGGGGTGGCGGAGCTGGAGCGCCGTCTGAGCGCCGCGACGCTGCTGGAGACCGTCCACGGCGCGGCCTGGGGGTGCAGGGGCGGGGAGGCCGCTGCTCAGGTGCACTGTAGTCTTAAGGCTGTGCTGTGATAAATACTTTAATATGAGTACTGTATTATGAGTGCTGTACTATGTGTACTGTACTATGAGTACTGTACTATATGTACTGTACTATGTGTACTGTACTATGAGTACGGTACTGTACTATGAGTACTGTACTATGTGTACTGTACTATAAGTACTCATAGTATATATATATGTGAGTACTCATATATATACAGTACTCTCGAGTATACTGTGAGTATGTATAAAAATATGGACTATATGTTTGTAACCCCGTCAGCCAATCACAGACGGTGGCCGTACTATCATGAATAGTAAAGTTCTTAAATCCGTTAGTCAATCACTGATTGTGACCGATTTTCACCTAAAAAACCTAAAAATTTTAGTTCTGCAGATATTTATATATTTTGTATGGCACAAATTCATATTTGTGGATAGCACATTGTAAGTTGAATAAATAATTGTAATTTTGTAAATTGCAAATCACATCTGGCACCATATTTATGTATATGGATACCGTATATTCATTTGCGTATATACCGTATATTTATGTACGTCTGTTTATACCGTATATTTATGTGCGTATATATACCGTATATACCTATATGTGCGTGTATACCGCATATTTATGTGCGTATATACCGTATATTTATATGCGTATATACCGCATATTCATGTTTGTGTATGCCGTGTATTTGTATACGTGGGTAGCCGTATTCTAATTAATATGGCCACGACCAGCTGTTGGCGGGGAGAGGAGACAGCGTGCGCGGCAAGACGGTGCTGGACGCAAACTGCGGCACCGGGGGACTTGTGACGCTGCTGGCCCACCAGGTGACGTGGGACAAACCTGGGCCTATACTTTCAAAAAAAGTTATGAGATCGTGAGTTCTTCAGCCAATAAGTATAGGCCTAGGGGCCTATACTTTCTAAAAAAGTTGAGAGATCGCAAGTTCATCCGCCAATAATTATAGGCCTAGAGGGCCTATACTTTCAAAAAAAGTTGATAAATCGTAAGTTCATCCGCCAATTGTTGACGGCCTTTCAAGCAAAATCCACCAACTGTAGACAAGAAAATAGAGCGTAAGTACTTACGTTCATTTAGCGAGTTTTGAAATGGCCCCTGGGCTGGCAGCCGAAATGTTTGTTAGAACACGTCCAGAAATGCTTGTTATTACGTCGATCAAAATGTCTCGCTAGAACCACGTTTAAAAATTCATGCCATTACTACGTGCAGTAAAGTTGGCTTGAACCACGTTCAGAATTGCATGCTTTAACCCAGTAAGTTCCTGAACACGTGATTGTTATAAATTGATCACGTCTGGCTCTAAATATTGTTGTTAGTTAACAGCTAGTGTGTCCACAGGGCGCTGCTAGGGTGGTGGGGCTTACCTCCAGCGCCGTCAACCTTCACTTGGCGCTCCTCCACCTCGGCTCCAAAGGCCAAGAAATCATCACCAAGGTTTGCAATTTTTCTTTGCTTTAGTATGCTTATTTATGTAGTATGGATTTATCCATTCAATTGTTATTAAACCAAATTTTCAAGCATGTGATTCTTTATTTTCATTTTGTTGTAAGAGACAACTAAATATAGAAAATCAGAGTCAACTTGTCTACTGACGGTAATTCTTGTTACCAGGCTTTTGGATACTTAGAGCATTTGTGATTGTTAATTTATCCGTATACATAGAATTAACGACGGGGGAAATTACATCTCTGCATACGAGCATTCCATTGAAATTATCCCCTTGACTAAATTACTTTAAAAATATCAATTGCATTTATCATATTCTCTCGATATTTCTTAATATTTTCTAAATAGAGGATTCAAATGTATAGTTGTCCAATATAACCACTTGGGAGATCATAATTAGACTGGTCGTTGCCGTACTATGTCTTACACTAATACAAGGACTGCAATTTGTCATATAATACTTTTTATTGAGATTATTCTTGTTTCAAAAGTTCTTCACATATTTACATTAATTTAGTATCTTTCACACGATCGTCAAATTTCAGACTTTCTTTGAGTTGAGTTCGTTGCTGGAGTGGCAGCGCCGTGACAAGTTCGACATCGTCTGCGCTCACGACCTGCCTCTCGATCAACTCAATGGCCCTCATGTACTGGCGAAACTAAAGGTAAATTTTATTAGTTTTATGATCGTGATCAATAATCATGTCTTTCTCGTATTTCCTTTAGAAAAAAGTCTTGTGAATTAAGTCAATGGCCCTCATGTACTGGCTAAACTAAAGGTAAATTTTATTTGTTTTATAATCATGAACAATGCGTAATCATGCCTTTCTCGTATTTCCTTTAGAAAAAAGTCTTGAGAATTAAGTCAATGGCCCTCAAGTATTTGCTAAACTAAAGGTAAATTTTATTTGTCTTATGATAATGCACGATAATGAAGGCTTTCTCGTATTTCCTATAGAAAAAAGTCTTGTGAATTAAGTCAATGGCCCTCAAGTATTGGCTAAACTAAAGGTAAATTTTATTAGTTTTATGATCATGAACAATAATCATGCCTTTCTCGTATTTCCTTTAGAAAAAAGTCTTTTGAATTAAGTCAATGACCCTCAAGTATTGGCAAAACTAATGGTAAATTTCATTTCCCGTATGATAATGAACGGTATTGAAGGCTTTCTCGTATTTCTTTTATAAAAAGTTTTGTAGTAATGGAATTGGAAATAGTAATTTTCGATCATCGAAAGCGATATGGAATGCATGCACCAGTTCTTTTGAATGTGGACGTTTAGGACATCCATATTAATTTCATTGCTTCTCGTTTTCAGACGTTACTGAAAGAAAGCGGGCAAATGTTCATTTCTGTCTGCACTTCCGACATCGCAACTGCAGGTGTGTTATCTATGTATTAAATTTTTTCTTCAAAAAAATTAAAGCCAGATTTATTATCCATTATATTTTATTTAAAAATCCACGAATCTCTTATCGCAGAAAGGATAAGAAAAAAAAATTATTGGCGAAGAATGTCACCATGATATAATCTTTGTCGCGTTAAAGACGGAGGAATTTAAATCAAGGCAAAGGTCATTACGGAAACTGACATCCTTGCTCCCTTGGAATCCTTCCATCACCGATGCATGACGATTGTATCATTTATGGGACTTTGTTCCCTATTCTTGCGTAAAAAAGTGTATTTAATATTGTTGCTTTATATCATCTGCATTTTTCGGTCGTTTGTTTTACCAGGAACATTATTATGCCCAATATTCACCCTCATGTCCACCATCAGATTTGGTCAGCGCGGCCGAGCTGAAAGCCATGGCTGCCAAAGCTGGCTTCTCCAGGGTTGAGACAAGCACGAACACTGAATTTCTGCCTGCGATTGTGAAGGAACTTTCGGGATGTCAAGTGAACAACAATGCGACCGCTGGCTTGCCTCATGTTCACCGCCAAGAGTTCATCGAAGAACTTCAGTTGACGGTAAGAATTGCCAGTGATTGATGTTAATTGCTGACTGATGCACGCCCTGACGGTTGGACGGTGCTGACGGTGCGGACGTTAATTTTGAATACGGTACGACTTGGAAAATTATTTAAAATAATATTTTGTGAGAGTTCTGATTATTTCTACAAATTAATTTACGGTTTCTTCGCATCATTGAGCTAAAAATTTACTACTCAATTATTCAGTATAATATTTGTCAGAGTTCTGATCATTTCTACAAATTAACATTCGGTTATTAATACATGGGCATGAAAAACAGAGCTTGAATTCTTCAGTTCAGTTCAATTAACTCACAGGACCAATGCAATTTACTTGCAACATTACATAAAAGCATAACGTTTCATTTCCAGCGAATAATTTATCATTGTAGGTTATTGCTAGCTATTTCTACAATTGCTAGCAACGTCGCTCACTAGTCGAGTTATACCTGAACGGCTAACTTGTCTTTCATTTCCCTCGCAGGTGGAAAACGTCACCAAAGGCCTGCAACAACTTACGATTCTAACAGCAACCATTTAAATGCCAATATGCTAGTGGAAACTCCGAAGCTTGTGCGAAAGTACACACTCGTTCATTTTTAACATAGAATTTATCTAAATTTGCTTCTTTCTTTTTAGCATTCTTTTCTCGTATCGTCATCGTAATAGGGAACAAATTTTCCTTGTTTATTGTTCCGTATATATTCCAAGATATTTTAATGCCCTTATTATGAGTAATGGGAATACGACTACGCAGAATAATGCCTACGATCACAGGCAATGAGTAAAAGAAATGCATAATGGCAACGCTATGCAAAAATGACTGTTACGCAACTTCCCTTTGCCTTGATATGAAATTTAAATAGCTAATTCTGTATTCAGGGAAATAGCCCGCAATATCATGAGAGATTCAAAAGGTTTTGAACGATGCATTAATTTAAGAACTGCTTTGACATATTTAATTAAATAAATTTCATGAGCATTTGGCCCACTTTATCTTAGTTAAGTCCATCCTGGTGTGTAGATGAAGAGGATGTAATCGAGATGTAGCTGATTATGAAAAATGTATTTTTTACATGTGAGGCGACTGACTGCTGCGAAATCTTGCTGAAATGTCTAAGCTGAATATTTTACTTTGTAAAGGCAAGTAAATATATTAATCTAATGATGTTCACATTATTTTAGATGCTTGATCATTTATGGGACCAACCAATGAATATAAATGACTGTTTGTGTTTCTCTGAGTTATTAACTTTTTATCAAATAACACTTTACAAAGATTCATCGCAAAGCTTAGCGCCTGTGATCAATTAATGTCAAAACACATGTACTATTGTCAGGCCAACTCATTTGTTTCTCAATAAGAACGGTCAGTTATGTCTGTCAATAAGTTATGCACACGACAGTTGTTTACGTTGAATGTATACCTCCACAGTGAACGTTACTTGTGTTAATTTCTACTTACTGGGCATTGTTATTTGTATGGAAAATTTCGTGTGCATCTTCTGTGTAACATTATTCTTTTTGAATGTTTGTAGCGCCTGTTCATAAAATAACAATAATTATGTCTTATTTTGCGGCGTATATTCTTCACAGTCTCGGACAGGGCCTATACATTCAAAAAAAAGTTAAGAGATCGTAAGTTCATCAGCCAATCATTGACGGCCTTTCAAGCAAAATCCACCAATCATAGACAAGAAAATAGAGCGTAAGTACTTACGTTCACTTAGGGAGTTTTGAAAGTATGGCCCCAGGCCTTTCATGTCAGCGGGAGTGCCTTACATTAGACGAGAAGATTATATTTCAACTGGATTCTTGACTGTAAATGTTCGAACTACAGTACCTATATAATCTAGAATATAAAATGTCCTTGAAAATATGCGTATCGGAGTCATTTTTATTTTGAGTGTAGTGCTTTTGTTCTTACTTTGATATCAATTTAATAATCGTACTTGAAAGAAGTCTTAATTAAAAAGAAAAAATTTCTCAAGATTATTATATTTTTAGTTCATAATCTAAACATGTGTCCGAGATATAGGCGTTGTGGATACAAATGTGTTCCTCTGCTGTGAACGCATTTTAAGGGAAAAGCTCGATTGCTTTCGCACTTGTTTTTAGGAATAATAATTCACTAAATAACTGTGATGGTCGTTCATGATCTGAGCTGCATTTGTCTTCTAGATGTGCCACGCTAAGTGTTCTCGCATACTTGAATGTATTGCATATATAAGTCTTACTCATTTATTCCTACGCGTGCAATCAATTACGTATGGTTTCCCTACAACTTAATTAAGTACACTTACCTCCCTATGATTCCTGGAGATGACAAATTTCTTCAGAACTACGATGCGCAGAACTGTGCTCAGAACTGTCATGAGCACCTGTATGGCTTCTCATGTACATCGGGCGGCTAGTCTCAGCATGGTACTAGATGTTCGCCGTGAATCTGGCTATCTTCAATTAATCCCTCAATTTTCATTTAATTATTTAACTTATACAATAAACTCTAGTTGCGCAACCTTTATCCACATCATATCATAGCATAATTGGGAAAAATTGTATAAGTGTTCAATCCATATTTCGACGGCACTTTCCTGATCGGATGTTTGATGTTCGATCGGATGTTTGATCGGTGCTTTCTCTTGTCCACCCTGGATACGGCGTACGATCCTTCTAATTGGTGATTGATGGCATTGGTATTGATAGGCTACCGAATATTATAAGGTATTATCTAACTAATTAATTACCTAAAGTTGAAGTGCCTCCCTGCTGCCTATGCTATTTTCACATCAATGCTCTTGCAGACCAAACGTGACCAGAAGAATCTTGTAAAATTGTAACGGGTACAGATAAATTTACTTATAGTGCGTAGAATGTGTCAATTCTTATATATTTGTTACACTTTTTCACAGTTTAATGTCAATGCCGTTTACCAGAATTATATAACGATACAATAAGTGTTCAGCAAAACTCGTGCTTTATTTTTTCCCTTTCACTTCCATTTTTGCATTTTTATGAATGCTGCGCCATCAGAAAAATGTTCAAAAATTCAAGCCAAAATTTAAAAATATTCTTAAAAACTTAAAAACATTATGCATGACTCAAACTGGAGTGATTAACAAAAAATACCTATGTAATTATTAACATTCAAAGTAATAACTCCCATTAATCTTCGAAAATATTACGTTTATAACAGGTAAAAATTAATGCCAGACTGAATCTCTAATAGTTTGTCATTAATTTTCCAGTCACAATTCAATACATTTTTGAATGAACATTAGCATGAACAATCAACCTCACATTGTCGATAAAATTTAATGTATTCGAATGTCTTTTGATCAGCTTGTACTGGATTAGTTATTACCTAATGAAGGTAATATTTAATGCATATCGATGGCCTAATATCAACACATGTCACGTTTGCAGCTTACATTAAACTCTCTACGAATATAGTTCTTTAGTTCTTGCAAATGATGCTGAAAATAAGTACAAAACCATGTTCTCAACCGTAGTTTGTACCCGAGCCTTTCGAAAAAAATGCAACTTACGGTATCAGCGGGAGGTTCTGGATATGTCAGGACAGCCTATGACATTTCATCCAACAGGTTAGGTTCCGATCAATGCTGCCTCACTCAACTAATCCTATTCGAAGCCCTTTGTTTTCAGTGGAGACCATGTACCTGTTAGATGTTTCTTATCCGCATTTGCCTGAATAATATATACGCATAAATCATTATTCGTATAGTTAGGCAGGAATTCATAAGTTTTGAAAGCTTGATTGAAGACCAGAGAATTTTTTTAGCAACATATTTTTTGTTTTCAAATGGTCGAACTGAGCAGAAATGAAGCCAAGTAAATTGTTAATAAATAATTTTCTCTTATCTTCAATTAAACTTCTATGAACTTAAATCAATAAATTTATGAAGCTGGTGCAGATTATAAACGGTAGATATTATCATTTCTGTGAGCATTCATTGTGTTGTCCGAGAAGAGCAAGGCCAAGGTCACGACAGGCGCACCGAGTTCAAGGTCACCTATCGAGCAACATGCGTTACGTGTACAGTCCTCCAAGGTCACTCAACTCGGACGTCAACGTTGTACCTCTGGTAACAATAAACTATGTTTGCAACAATGTGTACATTCCAACTGAAATTTTATCGAGTCTTTCCAAGAAACTTAAACATACAAATCCACGTGGAATCATATGAAACCCTTACAGTACAAATTAATCGTATTTTTTTTATTAAAGATGCAAACCTAATCGTACGATGATAGTGTTGTTATCTTCTGTTTGCTGTGCATCTATGTTTATCGATTTGGTTATCCAGTATCTGTGTAGAAAGTCGAGTGGATGGCTTACATGTGATGTCGTGTAGTGACCAAACTCTTCATGAGTATCAGGCACCATGTGCTATCTCGCCGGCATAAGTTTGCTATCGGATTTCCTTGGAAATATTCCATCACACGGTAAACCTTAAGTGACGATTCCATTCAATAAAAGAATAGTTAACTTCGATTCGTCACATAATTTAATTTCAAGATGATTGGAAGGGTGGTGAAATCATAGGTGTTTCAGTCGCACGAGTAATGTTTGCCACAAAATTTACTCCGTCATTGATCACGTGATTTTGAGCTCAAGTGATAGGCCACGTGGCCGCCTTAATGCGAACACGTGATCCACACTCGGTGTTCCATAAACCAGTTTAGGCAAGCAAATCAGCCCAGCAACAACTCGCCTCCGCTCGACACAGGTTCACCATCAAGCTTAATGAGCCGGCACTCCCGAACTCGGGCGAAATGTTCTGATAAGAGATAACTAATGGAAGCTCTTGCCGTCGCTGAAGGATGAATTTTTACGTATATTATGTGACACCTCATTTTTCTGTGTTTCAATAAGAATCACGCTTTTTTGAGAGCTGAAAATGTGTATAGATCGCTTGCATATTTTGAGACTTCGAACGAATTAACGCTGATTGTGATCAGGTGCATACCATGGTTGAATTAGTCCATGGGTGCATACCGTCCTGACATAACACGTGGCACACCTGTAGCCAACCATGCCTGTAGCCACATGTGTGTGATGGAATCTCCGAAACGCAGGCCAGGAGGCAGCAGCTGTCATAAGTACTAGGGACGGCGAAGTCAATATAGGCTAGCACCGAGAGGGACTAGCACTAGGGAGACCGGAGAAGTGTTGCCTCACTTGCCTGTGCTTGCGTTGGCTCAGTTCGGCTGCTTCTGCAATCGGCATTCGGCAGTAGTCATGCGGCTGCTATAGCGGGCGGTGGTGTTTGTGGGTGATGGTGTTCGAAGTCAATAGTTTACCGACCGTTATTATTGTCATTCAGTAAAACTTAGGGTATACTTTTTCAAACCACAACTCAAATATTTGTACATGTTTTCCATCGTTTGCTCAACCTGAAACAGGAGGAATTTGCCTTTTTATCAATTTGTGCAATGGCCTAAAGTAAAGTTACAAACGCACAGTTACGCGTGACAAACTGACAACCGTAATTTTCTGCCGGATTGTCTTAGGTTTTGCATCAGTAGATTCACTGTCGTTTTTAGTAGGTTTTATGCCTGCGTGTTATGATGCAGTTTGTTCACTGTTTCATGAATTGTTTCTGCTTTAGACTTCCTATTTACAGGAGTTTTACATATGCTTTAGAATGTCGCTAATAACATAACATAGTGATGTCTGCGCTGAAGTGTAGGCCTGATGTGGCCTGTCGCCGATTCTTTTCCTTTTCGTGCCTTGTTCATAGANAGTAAAAAGCGCCTCGTGTGAAAAATTGCGCTGTAAATACTGCCGCGACATTTTTGACGCGCGCAGTATCTACTGCCCTGTGTGAAAGGGGCTTAAGTCCTAATATCTTGCAGTAGATATGTTGAGTCTGGAGTCATCGTTTTAAATCGCTAAACCGCGTCCTTCTATTTTTACTTTTTTGTATTGAACAAATTTTGTTTAACTATTTGATTACATCTGCAAACTCGTCTTCTAACTTCCTCAATTTGTTCAAATTGTCACCGTACTTCTTTTCTCATTAGCGCATCAGTCAAGACGGTGAAAGTTGCCATCCAACAGAACGGTTTATCTCATTAACGATTATCAGCGTTGAAAATGTTTCTCGGCAGTTTTGAAAAAAAAATATACCAACATAAGAAGCTATTTTAAATCAGCATTAGGTTTTGTGGGGGGGCTGACGAATTAAGTATTGCTTGTTCATCATTTATGAACGCTTCAGCAGTCACAAACTCAGCTTCCCCACAGCTAAACTCGTATTATAGAATCTAGTTAAATATCAACAAGTTTCATTCGTAGTTAATTCGCTCTTGTTTGATGGCCTCTCCAACCACACAAGACACAAGGCCTCTCCAACCATACAAAACACGAGGCCTCTCCAACCACACAAGACACAAGGCATCTCCAACCACACAAGACCTCTCCAACCACACAAGACACGAGGCCTCTCCAACCAACCATACAAGACACATGGCCTCTCCAACCATACAATACACAAGGCCTCTCCAACCACACAAAACACAAGGCCTCTCCAACCACACAAAACACAAGGCCTCTCCAACCACACAAGAGACAAGGCTTTTCAACCACACAAAATACAATTTTAACAAAAAAGCTCGCCCGTTACAGGAGTTCTGTGAGCGACTGAAGCTGGAGCCGGGACAGTATGTGCTAGACGTTGGCTGCGGTACAGGAGGGTCCGCATTTTACATGGCGGAAACATACGGCGTCCGAGTCCTTGGAGTCGACTTATCCAGTCATATGGTTCAGATCGCCAATGAAAGACTCAGCAAAACATCTCCGGATGTTCAACAGAAGGTTTTGAAGTGTTTATAATGCAGTTTTCTGTCATAGAATGTATCATTAAAACCTGTAATGAGAAGAATTTTTAGTTCAGTATTAGGCATGCGGACATCTCTGTTCTATAGGATCATGGATCGGTGCCCATATACTGTTTCAGTTTACGACGTTTGTGTCTTGTAAATATATATGTTCATATATGATCGGTATGATGCAAAATATTGGTTTACAGGTATTATATTTATAATAAAATAATAATATAACGGAGTCAGCGTAGAATTTTGGGACAAAGGGCCTGTTGCCGATTCTCGACATTGCATAATTTTTACTGCTTACTGCGAGTCTCGAACCCGGTACTCGCTACTCCAAATTTTGTGCAGTGAGTCTAATTGAACTCTAACCACTCGGCTATCATGCCGAATAAATTTTGATACTGAACCGCTAGTCAATAATACCTACCCATGAACTTTTCATTAAAAACCAAATTCTTAATAATTCATCTCGCGGTTAAAGAAAAATAAGAGATGAAATGTATACAATCATGATCTAATTTAAATCCATAAACATAACTATTTACCAACTTGCAGGTACAATTCAAAATCGAAGACATCATGAAGAGTTCGTTTCCCGCGAACAGTTTCGACGTGATCTACTCCAGAGACACCATCCTTCACATTCCTAATAAGGAAGAACTTTTCGCCTCGTTGTTTGTACGTATGAAATCCTTTTAAAAATTCCTCTATGAAATGAACTCTAGCAAATTAACGTGTTAGCACGTGTGTGGTATTATTTACTGACTAAAACTAAAATTATTGCTCTCAAATGATGAGAACGATCGTCTAACGACTACGGTACCGTATACATTATTTTATTTGTCTAGAAAATATTTTTACATCTTTACTCGCTTTAGTTGATGTTATTTTATATCGTATATAAAATTAAGTATTATTTATAATAACGTTGATTGCAAACTATCGTATTTTAATTATTAAAACATATTTCAGTATTTTTTAAGGTCTCAGAACGATTGCAATATTTACTGCCTTCAGTCGGGCAAAAAATGAAATAAAGTATTCAATACCCGAGTCAACCAGACGTTTCTTTGCTTATAGGGAGAAAGCGTTGCATGAAATGAAAATGCAAAGATTGTACTTGAATTTATTCGTCAAACAGAAATTTTTGAAGCCTGGAGGAACGATTCTCATCACCGACTACTGCAGAGGCGACCAAGCGCACAGTCAGCAGTTTCTGGATTACGTCAAACAAAGAGGCAAGAATTTATGATGAGTATTCAAACGTTATTTTTAATTTATTTATGGAGCGAACTTGGAGTTTCATTTTATGACATTCGAAAATTTTTTATTTTGCTTTATTCTGAACGAAAAATTAATTCTTTAATAACACATCATTATCATTTGTGCTACCATTAATTTGATCCTCCAATCTCCTAATTCATTTGTACGTCCATCAATATTAAAATGATCATTTTCGCTAACAGGAATAAGATATTTTAAAATCCTAACTGATTTTACTATCTAACAGAAAGTACTTTTACTTTCAATTACCTTTCTTTCACAACATGATTGTTTTAGCTGCTAGGAAAAATATTCGTTCACCCATTTTAGCTGACTGCCAGACTATCTGGTAAGTTTATTATTTATGTTACTACGAATACGATCCTTTGCCCGTGGTCTGCTAGAATATGAACTTCACCCATCTTAGCTGACTGCCAGACTATCTATAATAAGTTTATTATTTATGTTCCTACGAATACGATCTTTTGCCCGTGGTCCAGGCTACGATCTGCGCACCGTGAAGGAGTACGGCAAGATCCTGCAGGACGCAGGCTTCACGGGCGTTGATGCCCAGGATGCAACTGCGCGATTCATCGCCATCTTGGGCGAAGAACTGGCTCGGTTTGAGCCTACTAAAAAGACCTTCATTCTGGTGAGTTGTTACACAGTTATCAAGACAAAAATAACGTAAATTGGTTATAGTATTCAAATAATAAATACTAAGCTATTTGCTAGGCAGTGCTTGGATATATCTGCCAGTATTCGACCATAGGTTGCGAGTAATTATTTCTTCGTTGTCGGCCAGAGTGTAAATAAAGTTTTTTTTTAATTGGAAATAATTATTCTTGTTTATCTACAAGGTCGTTTATAGCTAGGAGATAATAGTTTGCAGGATAAGGAGATAATAGTTTAAATTCCACGTTTGCAGGAATTCAACGAGCAGGATTACCTGGACATCGTGGAGGGCTGGAAGGCGAAGCAAGTGCGCTGTGCAGCAGGAGATCAGGCCTGGGGGTATTTCTTTGCACGGAAGTAAATGCAATCTCTTCATGAGCTGCTAATTTCAGGAAACGAAACTCTTCGTAATCTGCTAATTTCAGTAAATTAAACCATCCGTAAGCTCTGAATTAAAAAACACTCTCCGTAAGCTGCGAAACTCAGTAAACGCGAGTAAATTGCGTAGCAAAATATACGTTCTACAAAGGGCAAGCTCACCTCTTCTCGGTCAGAAGTTATCTGGGGCGTGCTGCAACACTTTTAGTTCATATAGTTGAATATTTTATAATTTTTGTTGGGTGACCTATAGCTGTTCTTTGACTATCCATTGTACAATCGAGATTTAACTATTAAGATTCAACGAATTTTATCAATTCATCAGCAAGGGAATTAGTCAAAGTGAACGAATTTCAGCGACATTTCTGTAATAGCTTGTAGAAATTAAATGAACAATGGTTCATGCCCGAGTTGAACCTGTCGAGCCTCTCTCTTAAATTCTATTAGAGGAGAGCGATGTCTATATTTTAGCAGTTCGGCATGGCCAAGGAGAGTTAATTTCTCGACGCGGTAGGACGGTCTAGAGGAAAGTAATTGAGTTTGAGTAGAATAGTTCATAAAAATGTTGAATTATACTACACATTATTATCAATTTTAAATCCAGTTTGTCTCTAAATTTCGGTTCAGCATTAGGTTATAATTTTACTTGTTCTTAATGTACACTTTATTGCGCCAAAGGCATCGTTCCAGTGACTATTGCAATACATCTTATGTCTTACGGTTTTAATTAATTAAGTATAACTTAGCGTCCCATGACATTATAGTTCCTGCAGAATATTCATTATCATGAATGCCACCGAAGTTCAGAGATGACATTTACAGTTACTGAATAATTTGATGTTCCTGTTAATCGGAATTAGGCTGACCAATTTTTTTTAGCTACATTCCGCCTTGAAGTGCTACAAAGAAGGAAGTGCTTCCGCCTTGAAGTGCTATACGTTGCTATGTGAAGAGATTCTGAATGATATATTTTGCCGAAAAATTTCATATTTCTGTCTCACATGATATTTATCAATTGTATGCCTTCGAACGAAAAATGATGTTTAAAAAATCATGTAGGTTATTTGTTTTAATACAAATTGCAGTGAAAATTGCATTTTCTTTATTTATATCTCATCTGGAAACTCAAAAGAAGGGGCTACAGTGCTGGCTAAAAATTAGAGGGCTCTGTTAGGCCTCGCAACGAAACTGCAAGCCAGCCTGGAGCTGCATAAAATAACACAGAATATAACTAAAACATACATTCTAGTGCGTTTCAACATCTCCACAAGCCAATGAGCACTTAATGGTTCAGAATATGCGAGTACCACGATACGACATGAATTATGATTTCCACATTAATTACTGATCACCCTGTTCATTTTATAATTTAATTTTATGTGTTTTTAAATGAAAAGGTTACAATTTCATTCGCAGACAACCTATCGACAAGTACCACTACGAACATTGACATGTACCGGTAGACCCTGCACCGCTAACCTCTTGTCTACTTTGAATTAAAGGAACCGCCTGCTGGACGAAATGGGAGCCAGTCGATGCAGTGTACCTCGATTTTGTCAAAGCATTTGACAATGTTCCACATGAGCGGCTGTTGCGTAAAATGAAGTCTTTGGAAATTGCGAGTAATGTAATCGAATGGATTAGAGATTTTCTAGTAGGGAGACGACAACGTGTCAGTATTAATGGGACCAAATCAGACTGGGCTTCAGTGCGCAGCGGCGTGCCACAAGGAAGCGTTCTCGGGCCTGTTTTATTCGTTGCGTTTATAAACGATCTGCCAGAGGCTGTGTCTAGCGTGTGCTCGATATATCCTGACGACACAAAAGTTTATAATACAGTGAAGAATACGTCAGAAAAAGTACAGTTGCAAGGTGATCTTGACAGGTTATTTGACTGGGCTGATACGTGACAGCTGCGTTTTAATGCTGATAAATGTAAAGTAATCCACCTTGACAAGAACAATGAACAGCAAGATTACAGTATTGTATGAGAAGACATGTTTGCAACGAGAGAGTGATGATGTCGAAGTCGCAAAACTGGCAAAAGGAAAAATATTTAGGAGTTTATGTCGACAATGAGTTGAAATTTTCTGAGCATATTGAAGTTCAAGTTAATAAAGCCAATAAGCGACTTGGACTGATCAGACGCTCTTAAGAGAACCTATAATGCAGAAGCGATGAAGCTGTTGTTTGTCGCTGTCGTTCGTCCGAACCCAGAGGTTGGAAACGCCGTGTGGTCACCAAAACTAGATTGTGATCACTTGGCATTGGCGTGTCTTTATGCATTATCAATTTTTTTAACAATCAAGAACAATCCAGAAACTCATACGGAGCGTTTCGCAAAAGTGTCTCCGATATTTTAATTGATTAAATCTCCGTTTTATGATTTAGTTTTCTCTGATTTTTAATGGACTAAATTTTGTTTTCTGTTATAATAATCATAGTTTTATAACATTTCTTGAATTACCACTCCTGTCGACTGATGTTTCGGGCATCAATTGTCCGGCTGTGTTCATGAGCCAGTTTCAACTCTTTTCTGTGACATCCGTTGATAAATTTATTTTTAAATGAGATAAAATATAATCATTATTTCTGAGTTCCGATAGGTTCTTATTGTAGTCCATAAACTATGGCAGGAGAACGAGATAGAGTCAACATTATGTAATTTATTATTAAATTTAGGATTACAGGATGAGGCACGATGAGGTATTATAATTACAGTAATTGGGAAAGTGAAATTAACGACACGAGAGCGAGTAGGACAAGCGAATGCTGGAGCCGATAGACGCGGTGGATGCATCGAAGGTTAGGCTACGATGCACTGCAGCCAAGAGGTGTTGGTCTGTGACTGAAGGACCGGTGTTGAGCTTAATTTTAAAAGGGCTTATACAGAGACTTACTACAACGGCTTCACGGAAGGTGATACTACTGATAGCCTCGGTATGAAATAAGTCACCTGATACTTTTCAGTTATCGAGTTTAAAAAAGTAGTAAAAAATTATTTGTTAGAAGGAATTTTTCTATATTTTTTGTGTTGTTTCTTATTATGTTATTCAAAAAATTACCAAAAATATATTTAAAAGAGTAACCATATTATTACCTTAAAAATGTTTAAATAAAAGGAGTAATTTAGTGTCGTAAAGAATAAATTAAAATATGTTATTTTCAAGCGGAGATATGATCAATTAAAAACTCGATAATTTCGCTGTTTAACTCGGAAAGGTATTATAGTGCTAATGGATGGAGCTAGAGAATGTATTAAAAAAAAGTATTGGTAATGAATTTGAAAAAGAAATATTTATGCTTAATTTTGGTTACCGTAATGAGTAGGAGCGTCATAATTGAGCTCATTGGTAGCACCATCTTACAAATTTTTAAGTTGCTTCGTGTTTGATCAATACGAAACTTTCCAACAACTCGGAAAGAAAATGTTGATATAGGTTATGATTAGTTATGTTATGCTATTTTTTTTTTACTTTTCAATGATGTAACCTATCCAAGTCTAACATGACTTAACAAAACCTAACCTAATTTGTTGAAGTTTTTCTTTTAATAGAAACGAAGCCACGTAGAGATGTGCAATCATTACTACCACCGTGCACTGCTAAAATCAATTATATTTTTAATTTTATGCACAGCAGTTTGGGATTGCGGGAGCTATTAGCTGTTTAGTTGGGCGAAGATTACGTTTTTTCGTCTTGATCATGAACGAAATAACTTGCAAATCTTTAATGCTTCCTCTCACAGCTCATATCTACATTGATATTACTTACTTGTGCTCTGAATTTCACTTAGATCTGTTCACAATTGATGGCCTTATGAGCAGTTCAGTTACTCAGAAGTTGGGTTTTGGTAAATGGAGATTACCGTACGCGGGTGAGTTCAGAGGAGCATCGGAGAATTGCGTTATGTCAGTAAATATGACAAATAGGTTTGTTGTTAATTCGGTAATGTCGGGTCCGATTCGCAAAATTTGCGTGAAAAATGTTTTAAAACGTGTTGTTTAGTGTGTTAATTTAAATTAGAACAACATATAATTTTTACGGTCAACACGTATAGGAGCGTATTATGAAAAAATGCTTTCGTTCTTAATTAGATCAAGATTGGCTTTGATTCGACAAGGTTATGTGTCCAAATTACTCAACAGAAATTAGTTCCAAACAAAAATTCATTAAAAATCGTTCGTGACACCAAAAATATTCGAGAGGTTTGAATTTGAGAAACAGATCAATCAACGTAACGGGCAGATATTTTACTTACAGCATTATGGGTATGTTAATGAATAAATTGGTTTAATTTTTTACCCGTTTCCTGAAACCGTTTCACTTCAAAATCAACTACCTACTGTACAATATTCAGCACTGAAAATTTGCTTTCTAGAATTGCATTTTAACTTCTGTAATGAATGAGGGTATAAACGGCTGCTAAATTTTCTCATTGATATTTTATCGCTTGATTATCTTTTGATCTCTTATGAATTTAAGTTAGACCTTTATCGTTTTCTTTAGTCTTTTCACTTCGCGTACTGTGTCCAGCTGACTGACTTGCAGCGTCAATTCATTTTGTTGACCATCTTGAGGCTTCGAGAAGAACGCCTGCGTGTTCATGTGAGTCGTGGCTACTCTACGAAGTCTTGGTTATTAATGCGGTAAGATGCATACAATTTTCTGTATTGATAGTTCAAGTAGTACATATCCTTTAAGATTATTTATGTTGTAGTTTTTCGTCGTGAAAAACACTTATAAGCAGTCATGGTGCTCATTGTCCGTTTCTGGGCCGTGTGCGGTGTGCCATTGTTCAATTTGTTTGGTAGCAAAATGTTATTTTTATTAACAATTTTTACGATTGATATTTGGAACAAAATTGAACAAATTAGGACTGCTGCTTTTAATTGAGCGCCTTAAACTGAAACAATGTTATTTTGATCTGTTTTAACATTTGTATATTTGGGTTTATCTATGAATACTAAAGATTTTTTGTCCGGAATAAGTTATTCTTCAACTTAGTTCATTGTGGTTTAAATAATTATTATTATATCATTGGCAGAGTGAAAAATGTCTGCATTATAGCAGGATTTGAATGGGGTGCCTGTTCAATGTATGATATTTATAGACCAGTTTTGAAGCTACAAAATTAAAGACAATTTCGGAGCTGTGACTGTGAACTTGTTTTTGAGCCATGCATTTGGCCATCCAGGTAATTGCTGTGATACATCCATTTTATAATTTGCAATCTTATTTTCATATATTATCTCAAAATTAGATGTCAGATTTTAATATAACTGTGGAATAATTTTTTTTCAAATTCTGTAATACCTATGTTTGTTGATTTCACTGAGCCACACACTGGCACACAGACCACAGTCCAATTTGAAATATTAGGCAGAAATTTGCCAAAATTCATGGTTAAAATAGGCATCTTTTCTTATTTTTCAATGTATAAATTTTAAAAGGTCATAGGAACTGATGAAATTATCCAGATTCACAAGCATTTTTGTCAAATTCATTGGTGGCATCTGGCCAATTTCCCAGTTTAGCAACACTTATTGTGAAAACTTAGGGTATTATTGCAGATTAACTACATCCAAAAAAAAGGGTGTTTTTTTTTTAATTATATGTTTTTTGGGGTGTAGATTACGAATCTGAAATCCATTTTTTGTTTTCACTTACAGTAAATCACACCGTTTTTTGTTATCCATATTCCATACAGCCCTGCCTAATTTATTTCCTAGGAATTATAAAAAATGCATCTATATTTCTGGTGCAATTTTAAAAATGGCTTTTAATACATTAATTTTTACTTGTATATTTTTAAAAATTCTGCCTAATATTTAGGATTGGTTACCATGGACAAAGTGAAATACCGGTATTTAAAAAAAATTTTAATCATGTGACCTGATTGTGCACCATATTTTGAAATTTTATTAATAAACAGATAGATTTATCAAGGGGGAATCTCACAGTGTTGAAAAAAATGGGATGAAAGCTCTAGCTGTGGCTTGAAAAGATGGTACCGTAATGCTTGGTATATTTCAAGGCCTTGTGAGAAGTGAGACTTAAAGTTACCCTTCCTTTTTAGTTCACAAGAGTAGATCTGTGAATTATCATGGATGCCTCATACCATCAATATCATATCTAGGATATTGCTAGAGTAGAGAAACTAAACTCTCTAAGCCATGAATGTATTTTTGAGGCAATAAATAATCCAGTTTTGACCCATGAGTCATTCTTCAGGCCAAAAATTATTTTTCAAAGTCTTTGTCATTTATGAATTTGATTGAACCCAAACAACATGGAAATGAATCCACAAAATTTCATGCTCACCTAAATGATATGAGTTTGGTAGGGCTGTGATATATTTTAGACAAATTGTGATTTTTCCAATCTTGGCACATTGCCAGATCTCATAATTTGGCAGAAGTTATAATTAAAGATCAATGGGTGTTAAAGATCAATGGGTGTATGCAAATCTGTAATCAAAGCTTTTAAGCATTGTTAAATTCAATGGCAGCTAGTGCAATCATCTGCATAATTACTAAGAGACCTTTTCCAATCGAGAGCAATTACAAATACCTTGCATTGCTCTTGATTTTAGGGGCAGATAGTACTGGCCATAATACTAATTCGTAGGGGTGGACACAGAAGCAAGTAAATCCTCTAGCATGCAAATTACCTTATATGGTAAATTAGGATCTCTAAAAATGGCCCAACACATCCCCTGTTCAAGGCTACATTACCATGCTGCTGTCAATTGCCAATTATCCATCATTTCATATGTAGCATCACCCCCCTACTTATCCTCAGGATTAGAATATTCCTATTTAAATAAATTTTGTTTCTTAGACCAGAAAATAGATTCTCTTGAATCCAATTAAAGTTAGAGAGTTTCCCTCTGCAGTTGAATGTTTAAATTTGAATAGTACAAAATTTGTTTAGTGGTGTGACTGACTTAAACTGCAATTTTCTTCTTCAATGTGCAAAATTTTCAAAAATAAGTTGAGTAAACACATCTCACAATTACTGATACTTTTTACAACACTTCTCTTTATCTTCACTTCTTGTTGTTTGTTTGTCTGCCTGAGCACTACAAATCTTATATTCAATATTTAACACACTTCTACCTCTTTAATCAATCTGAAATTTTGCGCTTAAGCGTAAAGGTGGAGACAACACATGAATCAATTGACAGAATAAATAATTTTGAAAATTAAAAAAAAACATTTTTTGACAGAATAAATAGTTTTGAAAATTTAATTTTTTATACATTAAAAATTTGAGAAATCATTTTTTATAAATTAAAAAATTAGAAATTCATTGTACATGTGTCACATCAGAGACATTAGATTCTTTGGAAGTGTTGTTTTTAGAAATAAATTTTTAAATGCCTATATTTGTATTGGCTTCATTCTGAAACTTGAATTTTCGCATACTCCGTTGCTTGCTTGCAGAGGGATTAATGTACAGTAATTCTGCAAGAATGCAGCATGATTGATATTATCACAACTCATTTTTCTTTAATAATTTCAAGAGAAGCTGCATGTATCAACATATATTTTTGTATTTTTTCTTTGCAAGAAATGCTAGATGTTCATCTAAAACAATTAATTTTGCTTCACCACTTATTTACATTAGTATAGTATAGTATCTTCGGCATTAAAGAATAGGCCTGGATAGGCCTGTCACCGATTCTTGTACTTTTCTTGACTTTCTTGACTTTACCTTGTCCATATGTCATTTTTAAATATTATCCAAATGGCCTTTTTTCCCCTTGGACTTGTCATCAATTACTCCTCCCACCAGGATCACTTTCATTGCTTTCTAAGCATTCCTTATTCTTATTGTCATTACAATCTCATTCTCATCCAAGATCACCTTCCACATCTCTAGACTTCTCATTTGCTTCACCATCCATCATCATTAGATTCAAAATTTCTTCACATGCCTATCTCTCCAGGCAGCTTAAATTTTTTTCTAAACATTTTGTCCAATCAGTGCAAAAAATCTAGCCCATTCTTCACTTGATTTAAAAAAAATTTTAGTTGGATTCCAGTCTTAGTAGGTGTTTTTTCAAGTTACCAGAAGGTATATAACCCTTTAGCAGGCAAGCATTAAAATATTCAGAAATTAAAATTTCCAAAACCAGTTCAAGAAAGTAAGAAACAGAATATTTAATCATATGTAATTTAAAAAATTTTGCCTATTGAAGGTTTAAATTGCACTTGAAGAATTTATTAAATATGGTCACTACACAAAATATTTTCTTTAAAATTAAAATTTACTTTATGGAAATAAAAAAAATATTAACATAACAATTTAGTTTTATTGAATTGAATCAAGTTACCTTAAATAATTAAATATATATTGATACATCCGCCTTTTGAATAAAATTTCCAAAACCAGTTCAGGAAATTAAGAACTATTATACAAAATATTTAATCATATGTAATTTAAAAAATTTGCCTATTGAATGTTTAAATTGCACTTGAAGAATTTATTAAATATGGTCACTACACAAAATATTTTCTTTAAAATTAAAATTTACTTCATGGAAATAAAAAAAAATATTGACATAACAATTTAGTTTTATTAAATTGAATCAAATTACCTTAAATAATTAAATATATATTGATACATCCGCCTTTTGAAGAAATGCAGAAAGAGGGTCAATATCATTGTTTGAGTCAAAACCTTCCTTTAAATGCTCATATTTTAATTTTTGGGTATGACAGGTGTTGATACTATGGATGGAACGATGGTCAGATAATATATATGTGATTGACTGAAGCATGATAAGGAAGCCTCAAACACTAACAGGAAGTTGTGGTGGGTCTCTTTGTGAGGCGATTTCAAGTGACCATAAATGGTAACTTGCCCGTGAAAGGGTTGATAAATTGAACATAATAACTAGGATCTCTTTCAGCTCAAAGCTAGTGCTAAAGTAGTGCTTAATCTTCAGCATTGTTGAATATTATGTATTTTTGTTCTTTAGAATCTCTCCTATTTTATTCAATTGCAAATTGAGATGCCACCTTTAATTGCATTGAAAATGTCTATAAGCATAAAATGTTTTGTTGTAATTGTGACTGGCACTTGTGAATTTTTAAATTTTGTCTGAAATACATATCTCGATGCTTTGACAAGCAGCAGTAAGACAATGATTAAATACTCAATGTGCAGGTATTGATGTCTGGTCGGAGCTCAAGTGATGATGGGCATTTGAGTGCTTCAGGAAGTGCTCGCTCTCCAAGCCAAAACTCTTCCGCCAGCAGCTCTCCTGACGCCCCCAAACCCAGCCCAGCACCAGCAGCCAGCAGCTCATCTGCCACCTCATCAAGACCTACAGAACTACCTGGATCAGCAGCTCCTACAACCAAAGAAAGAGCATCAAATATTAAAATGTCAAAGGCTCTTAGTACAAGTGCTAGAAGGTAATTGCACTTGTTATGAACTTATTTAGTTGTATACTATCCACTTAGCCATTGATGGTTCTTTTGATATTTTGTGCATTAAATTTTACTACAAATTTTTTACGGTATTGCAAATGAACATAGTAACAACTTTATAACATGTAAACTATTATGATTTTTCAAATGTGCATTATAGCCAGTTATTCCTCTCTGCAGAATTCAGAAGGAGTTGGCTGAAATAACTCTAGACCCTCCTCCAAACTGTAGTGCAGGACCCAAAGGAGACAATCTCTATGAATGGGTGTCCACCATCTTAGGTCCTCCAGGTTCAGTCTATGAAGGAGGAGTGTTTTTCTTAGATATTCACTTTACTCCCGAGTATCCTTTCAAGCCTCCAAAGGTAAGTTGCCGGAATTCACTATGATTCTGATGTAACCTATGTTTAAATATTTACTTTTTTGATGCATTGGTGCCATTTTTTTTATTAATAATATGACTAATTCACTATAATATCTCTGCAAATACTAGGGTTGCTTCAGATAAATATTAATTGGAGGATTTTTATTACAAATGAATTATTTTGAAAATATTTTACATGGCTTTAATTTAAAACCGTATCCTTTTTATGAATTTGCAGGTAACGTTCAGGACTCGCATATATCATTGCAATATCAACTCACAAGGAGTTATTTGTCTGGACATCCTAAAAGACAACTGGTCACCAGCTCTCACCATTTCCAAAATATTGCTCTCCATTTGCTCACTGCTAACTGATTGTAATCCAGGTGGGTTTATCCATTTTAGTTAACGGTAGTTCTTTAAATCCTCGTACATCAACATAATCACAAGGTAGTTCACAGAATTTTCAATGTATTTACAATAAAGAAATTAGTTTCAAGTTATCTACACCAAATAATATATGAAGTGCGATTGAATCCTATGCATAACAAGTAATGCGTGTCATCACAATTTGTGTCTTACCGAACTGAACAGTGTGCTTGATATCTCGTTTTCATCATGCTGATTCATGCACAAAAGAATAATTTCTTGTTAAACTCAATGGTTAAGTACACTAATGATTTTTTGCAGTTCACCGCAATGATTCTTCTGACACTAATAATTCACATTGTGCAGGCGATCCATTGGTGGGCAGCATCGCTACCCAGTTTCTTCAGAACCACGACGAGCACGACAGGATTGCCCGGCTGTGGACCAAGCGCTACGCCACGTGATCAATTAACATCTTGCACTTAGTTTACTATTTGCCAATATTCCATAACTCCTAAAAAGTTGGATTTGGTGGCAAAATACTTTTAAATCTCGATGGTTTATTTTGTTTTTAGTTTGTGTGATGCATAGTCCGCTACTTCATATCATGGTAGTACGTCTTTAATAAAAGAAATCTGCGCATAGTTTTAGGTCTTAGGAAAGCCTCCATCTAAATATAACGATCCGATCACTTCAGCCTTTAAATTTTCTTATTTAAGTTATTTTGTATTATTTTTAACACGTATTGAACAATCTTCTACACTTCAAAGGTCCGTATTTCAAAAAATCTTCTACCTACCTGATGGGTATTGATCGGGTATTAAATTTAGTACTGAAAGCCGGCGCCCAATTTGGTTCCAATATTTCAAGCCATTATGCATTACATTGTCTAAATCAATCAGACGTCATATCCACGGTATCTGGTCAAATTCGCTTCAATAATCTATGTCTTATGTTTTGCTGATTGATGTAGTAATCGTAAAGTATTTAACATAAGCCTTAGTAACTTAGTCTGCTTAGTGCCAATGCTAAATAGAGCTCTGTAACTCCCCGTTGAGGCTCTTACACATGTTATCTGATCGTGCAGGCTAGAATTTGAGGCGTCTGTGACTGCCTATTATGGGACTGAATGGGAGATTCTTAATTTCTATCAGGCTTTGTGTTTGTTTAAATTTTTATGTTGTTCTTTGATTCACAGTAGTTCTTATACACCCAGGGACATTTTTACTCTGTAATTATATTGAATGCATATGGGGTTGATTGTGTTCGAAATCGAGGATCAAAATTCCGCTGAATGTCGAGATATAACTACTGAATCGCTTAAGTATGAACTTTCAAGTTTCAAATTAGGTTCTGATTTAATCTATGACCTGCGCACCGAGTTGAGACCTCTAGCATTGCTCCATATTGTATTGACGTTCGTCTACAGTGTCCCGTTCGATTCGAACTCATGCCGATGATATGAACTTAGTCGTTCGTCAATCTGTCTTACTTATTTCATCAGCAATTAGCTGTTTAGCATTATTGTCATAATAATAATAATAATGAGAACTGTGGAATGTCGCGTATTATAACCTGGTCCAACGTATCGACATAAACTTGTCACCCGGTGTGGTCTCCGCCCTGACGTTTCCACCCCAGCGTAATTTCTCCCAGGGACATACTCTTTGAAGTGCCGTTCACCAAAATTCTAGTCACTACAACGCTGTTTACACCGCCTTGCTTGCTACTACTTTGATACCATTGAGAGATACAGTATCTGAATTGCTTCACTTTATTATTCACTAAGTATCCAAAGAGCGTTGTCGTAGTCTCCAAGTAATGTCACAGGCTTTATGCTATCAATGTGCGTCGTCTGAATGCTTCCAATTGGTGCCTTATGCTTCATCCATCTCTCGCTGGTCCCATTTCGGTACTCGGAGCAATAACCACAGAGCCTCCCTATCTTGCCCTTTAAAAGCAAGCATAATTGAAAGTATTCCAGAGGGAGAGAGACTCGCATTCTAGGAATGACGCACCAGGACTTCCGTTAATGCAGCGGCCAACTTAATTTCCCTCAAAATCCAACAGTTTTAATGAGTATTTAGTCCTGAGACTCGTTTTATAATTTTCGTATAAATTTGACTCTGGACATTTAATGCCAGTAGAACCTCGAGTGACTGCAGCACACTTTGATTTGCCTCGGAGGACTTGAAACAATTACTATTGCCTTATGATCATGACTCGAGGACACTTTTGTGCACAATTTATCTATTTCATGACACAAAACAGTCTATAATATTACAAAAAGATAGAGTTAAAAAAATTTCCTACGGCCCGTTAAACTCGCAAGGTGGCACATATATTATGAAGTAAATTGTCATTAACAGTTTCATGCTCGATCTTGCTATATTTATTTAATTTTATACATCATACTTCCCAGTTGTTTGCAATGAATCAACTCCAAACAGAATTTTTCGTGAGGGGCCACACTTGGAAAGTTGAAGAGCAGAACACGTGGCGAACAATGGATCGGTCAAACGCGGCGGAGAGAATGGTGATTCCGTAATTTTAGAAGCTGGCGCTGTATTAGAATATAACTATATATCTCAAGAGAATCACAACCTTTTATATTATATTGAATTTAAAAACTTGAACCATAACGTTTGAAACAGATATGCTCATTGTCTGCTTAAAAATGTTTAACGATCTTATGTCACGTCATTTATAGTGAAACTCGACGATCGCATGAGATTTCACAAGTTCAACGCTTATAGCTCAGAAAACATTCAACTCAGAGAAAGCGGAATGTTAAAATAAGGAGGATCAAGCACCTATCAAAGTAAATCACCACCCCGCACTCGTCAATAACATTTATCACTCGCCAAAAGTGCTTAAAGCAATACAACATTGTACGGTTTAACTGGTTCAACGTTTAACCTCGGAAAATATTTCCATAAACTGCGGAATGGTAAAATAAAATGAACAAATCACTTATTAAATGTAAATCATCACTGCGCACTAGACAATAACATTTAGCACTAGCCAATAGTGCTCAAAGCAAAACGACATACGGTTTGAAAGGTTCAATGCTTGTAACTCAAAATTTGTTCAACGCTCTTAAACCGTACGCTATCATTGCTGCTGACGGCATTGCACTATTAACGATTGCTAAATGTTATTGTTGAGTGCGGAGTGGTAATTTGCATCGAGTGAGTGATTGATTCACCTTATTTCATTTCTTTACACTCTCTGGATTGGATATTTTTTTTATGATATAAGCGTTGAAACTTCGACACTAGACGCGGTCGTTATTGCTGTAAGCACTATTGGCAAGTGCTAAATGATAATGTTGAGTGCTAAGTGGTAATTTAGATTAACAATTGCTTTATTCACCCTATTTAAACATTCAGCAGCATCTGTATTAGATGATTTTGTAGTCATAAGATTCGAAGCTTCAAACTACGATGAGTCAATAAGTTTAATCCTGTGAAAATGAGTATAGTCTCGTTTTAAGCATTTTTTATTTGCTAATTTTTGAATTTTTTGTAAAACGCAGAGTCGCAGACAGGAAATATGTTTAGTTTCAGTGCTTAATTTTTCAACATAGGATTATCAAAACTGTTCCTTTACTCTTTGCTAAATTCGCGGAATTCATTCAGCCGCGGAATTTCATTGATCATTCGTTCGCCACTTAAGCGACTTCAACCGTTCAACGTCTTCAGCATTTTCAGCTCTCAACTATGGCATGATGACTCCAGACCCTATCGTGAGAATGTGGTCAATAGGCTCTCAAAGTGGAGCACTAACGCGGGTACTCCGGTCAAGGAGCCGACGAATAATACGAAGTGGGCCTTGTTTACTTACGTTTATATATACGTGCCATGCCAAACAGCCGATGCGACGCCCGACGAGTCTCCTTAGTAATGTTTTGCTGTAATGTGTCCCTTGACCTTGAGGCTTCTTTTCTTGACGTATGTACATTTGCACTTCGGCAGCTGAAAGATTTCTTCGATAATGTTTACAAAGAACACGTCTCCTCTTCATATCTCTCTTTAATCTTTGCAACACAGGATCGACAGGAATAATCACATCCCGAGCAGGCCAGACGGAGGCTCGGAGCAGCTAAGAGCGGAGAGCCTAAGTGGTCCTTCTACTAGCCTCTAGTCTCTCTCAGGTGAATGTGAATCTTTATAGAGCACATGTCTCTTCATCTTGCTCTTGAAAAAACATGAATATTTACAATCTGAACAGCTAATAAGACTAAGAATTTCTCTACTGAATGTGTGCAAAGAGCATAATGTCAGCAGGCTTTGCAACACACAACTTGACACAAGAATACTCACATTCTTTCTTGGCACCTGCCAGGGGCAAGACATGGGGCCACCCAAGAGGCAAGAGGTTTTTTGGATGAATTTTTTTAAGAATGTCTCTTCAGATTTCAAAATATGTCCTCTTTGCTGCTATTTTTTAAAGAATGTCTATTCAGATTTCAGAACAGGGTAAAAGCGGTATATTCCAACACTTTGAGGATGTAGCAAGAAATGAATGGCTATAAGAAAATCACCGTATGCACAACCGGCAACTCAAGTTCTGCTTGCTTTACGTCACTCTCAAAACACCGCACTACGCGCCAGCAACAATCCAACAATGAAACAATAATAGAAATTAAAAAGTTCAAAACACATTTCAAATCCTGGAGGTGAAATTAGAAAACAATTTTGATTGAATTTTTATCATTGTAAATTGTTAAAGGATTGTGAATAGTTCTAGAAACAAAATAAAAAAGGCTTAACAAAATGGGAAGAGGTCCTGAATCAAAATGTGAAATGTTTGACCAAAAAAATGTACAGTGTAGTATTACAGTTGGACTGCTTGGACCGGGCTAACCTCCTACAGTCCTAAAAGAAAACCTACAATGGTTACAAAACAAATGTGCTGATTATGTGCAGGCTGTCAATTTAGCTTGATCATGAAAGTTTTTTCCATTTTAAGGTGATTGTGATGGGATGGTTTGACTCACTACTTTAGTTTTGAGCAGCTATTCATTTTGATGCCTGATCAGCAGACAGTTTCAGATGAATACAAAATTGCTTATTTTATTAAATTACCATCAAACGGGATAAATCGGGACATTTGTCCACATTTCGTAGAAACGTTGTAGCAGCTAAACTAATCAAAACCTTGCATAACTAAAAATGATGACGTAAAATTTGGCATTTTTAATATCTATGCATCATAAAGCAAATTAAGAAATCATTTGTTTACTACTTGTAAAAAATCCCTGAAAAAAGTGTGAAAAGTGAGATTTTGGAAAAGTACCTCTGCTAAGGTCTGTAGCAAAAAAAATGCCTTATTAAAAAATTTTACCTGCATAAAAGTTGCACACATGTGTGGGCTTACAAATGTGATTAACTGAATTTGCATATCTCATTCCTAAAAAAATGGTGGCCATTTCCACATGACGGGGTAATAAGGGACACCCCCTGGGATAATAAGTGACTCCCCTAAAAATGCATTTACAGTAGAACCTCAGTTTGCAAAATCTCCAGTTAAGCAAAAAAAAAAAAACAATCAACAAAAAATTTTGATAACATTTACCTTGCTCAGTAAAAAAAATTCACTTAACAAAAAATTAATGCATCAGTCATCACAAAATTGTGCATAGAATGACATCAATAGAATTGTGCACTGGGCAACATAGAATGAAAAGTAATTAGCCTAAACTATGATTTATTTCTTCAAAAAATATGATGGTTGTCACTAAAATGTTCCTTTCTGTTTCAGTTATTTATTTATGATCTTTTTAGTGCATTTTCTCATTTATGGAAAAAATGCTCTATTGTGCTTGCCATGTCTATCTGTCTGTCTGTCCGTCTGTGACTTCATGTTTTCGTCAATGAGAAAATGCACTCTGTCACTCACTGCAGTGAGTACTAAGTTATATTTTTTTGTTATAGTGAATTCACTTGACCCAATTAAAATGGTGTGAAATTACAAGCCATTCTGTAAGCTTACAGATACAGAAGAAATGCTACATGGTAGCTTATATGAAGCTTGCAGTGGACAAGGTTGTTGTAAATGCACGATGGCGTGTTCATGGATATGGTAATATCACATCAATAATACGGTAATGCATGGATTTGGTAAATATCATATCAATAATAAATTTGAAAAGGACAGAAATTTAGTAGAGAGTGTTCAAAGACGCGCAACAAGGATAGTTCCAGGCTTGAAAGGCAAGTCCTATGAGGAAAGATTAAATATTATGAAGCTTCCAAGCCTCCATTATCGACGTCTGCGTGGGGACCTCATTGAAGTATATTTTGCCTTCTAAATTGTCAGGACATTGATAACAGAGAGATAAAAAAACAAGAAAACTTAAAAGCGGATATATTTTTAAAAAACTTAAAAGAAGCTCGTGAAGTGTACTCATGGCTTATACAAGGTCCCAGAAGGATTACTAGAATTTAAACAAGAACCAACACCAGGGACCATGACTGTAAACTAAAAAACAGCGTTGGAACACATCCTTGCGACAACATTTCTTTTTGCTTTGAGTCACCGACATATGTAACAGCCTCCCTGATAGCATCGTTGACGCTCCGAGTATGAACATCTTCAAAAACAGACTAGACGAAGCAGGAGCATATGTTCAGTCTTAAAATGCCTAGCAAATTAGGACCAGGCAATAAGTCCAGCAGCTATCTCAATCAATCGTCAGATATGGAAAGATCGGGTTCCAAAGGCCAGATCCCTTGTGAATCAAGTCACGAAAAGTTCAAGAATCGGCAACAGGCCATGGGCCTATTTCTTCAATACTGACACTTCTGTTCTATTCTAATAAAGGAAAAACAAGTAAAAATCACAGAAAATTTCATTTATTCTACATCTACTTCATCTACAAAGGAAGAGGACTTCTGAGTACTGTTAGTAATGGATGAGTACACTTTGCATGCTTCAAAGGTGTTAAAATTGAGTTTTATTTCAGGTGTCCCAGATTACCACATTCCCAGGGGTTGATGTGGGACACTTTTATTTTGCGGCTGGCATCTTACAAATAGCATATGGAATTTTTTAGAGATGCAATTTGATAGCCCTTGCAAAGAGCGTCAAAATGAGCCCAAGTGTATTTAATATAATAAGAATAATAGCGGTTTCAGCGTTTAGTAGGCCATAGTCCTGTTGCCAATTCTTAACATTGCAGAACATTCACAGCATGTTGCGGTCTCAAACTCGCAACACACTGCTACAATTCTGCTGTGCTTAACTGCCTGGCTACCTTGCTGATTCTGACCAGATACTGGCGCACAGAGCTGTGATTGAACCAGCGCCACTCTGTGCCAATCTTGGTGCTCTGACTGTAACCACTGGGCCACCCCAAACTTGTTTATGAAATGTTTCATGGTAAGAAGTTATTAACAAAAAATGCTCAAAACCATCCCTTATTGCCCTGTTTGATGGTATAGTGAAACTATTTGATCATTTTTTCTATATAATTGTATTCCTACTTACAGAAAATTTTAATGATTTTAATTATTCCTGTAAGAAATTTCTTTTAAGTTTTCTTGTTTTTTTATCTCTCTGTTATCAATGTCCTGACAATTTAGAAGGCAAAATTCCCAAGCTCTGACATGTCTGCCTCACTGTGCAACTAAAAGTTCCTGCGGATATATTTTTTAACTCAATTAGTTATGTTTGGTGGATCTTGTGGTGGAGGTGAGCAGTTGGTGTCAGCTGCTCGAGAAGCTCGTGAAGAAAGAGCTGCTGCACGCCAGAGAGAAGCTGCTGCTGTCTTAGTACAAGCCACAGTACGTGGCTTCATAACGCGCAAGAAGTTCCTGAGGAAAGTGAGGTAAGTAAAATTCATGCAATTTAATGTTGAAAATATTTGCTCTGTTCTTAAGTAAATTTGATTAATTAAAATTTTCAGTAAAATATAAGAAAAAACATTCAGCTACTAAGAACGTGTATTAAATCCAAGATAGAGCTTCTAGGCTTGATTATAGGCACCAAAGGATTTAGCCACTTTACATAATTATCATTTTCACAGTATTTGATTTTTTTCTCAAACTATTTAGAAATTCAATCTCTACAGGCTTCTTCATCTTGTAATCAGGCTATGAAATTTGTTACATGAATTTATTTGTATGCCTTTTTACTCACTTTAAAATGATTTTTAGGGGTGATTTTGACTCAGTACTTGGAAGCTTCAGCAGCTGCAGCACAGGCACAGATGTTGAACTTCCACTTCCACTGCAAGCTTTCACTGTTGCTTCCCCTCTCATCAGACACTACAATTCCAAGCAGGATGAATTCCGGCTCCACAATTACTGCAGGTATTTTTTTTAATACAGTAAGGTCAATAACAAATTCTCTATAATTTTAATTTTGTATTTGATGCTGATGTTACTAATTCTCAAATTAATTCTAATTTATCTTCACTTTACTTTTGAACAATGTTTCCTGAACTCTAAACTACAAGAAACAATCAGCTATGTTGTTCTAAATTATAAACGTAATCTTCAAATGACTGACCTGTCACAATCTTTTTACCATAGCATGTGGAAAGGAAACATCAAACATCCAAAATATTGTTTCAATATGAATTAATTATTTATTGATGACTGTACCCACCCATTGTTTCTACAGATATTTAGTTGCCAGCCTACGTAGCACAAATTTTCAGCGGCGCTGTGTTGCTTGTGCATTGAGCAAAGACAACACTCTTGCTTGGATCCGACACATGAAGCAGGTCTAATATTAATGTATTCAATGTGCATAATTAGTAATATTTAAATTTATGCTGAGGTGAGAGCCAATGTAAGCTTCAAAGCACTATTCTCTCCTTAACTAAATTTTTAAGCTATGTTACTATTAGTGCTAGGACAAGAAAATTTCTGTTGCAAGTTAGTATCATAAACTAGTAAATTCTTGCAATAACTCCCTGAAATAATTAAATTATTTCCAGGTCCTGGAACTGTCATGCCTCTCCCTTGAGCATTTGAGTGGGGAAGTGAGCAGTGAGAGTCGCATGTTGTCGGTATTGCTCCACTTACTCTTGGATCTCACTGCAACGCTGACATGGCCTCCAACACCATCACCTCTAGTGCCACCTCTCAACAAGCTCACTCAAAACTTTTTACAGCACCTTGTCACTTCTAGTCTGTACTCCACTCTCAAGGTGAAGCCAAATGAAGTTACTTCATTATCGATCTTCCAAATTTTGGTTGACTTTAACATTCATTATATCTTTAGTATACCATTTGACCAGTCAAGTTGCTAAGTTTGCTGCTTATTTTACTGCTAGTAGCACCCTGGACATTCAACAATGATGATAATGTTATTCTCTTATAGACTTGGTAGCATAGTATCTTATTGTACATTTGTGGGTAACTCTAATGTCATCAATTGAAATAATTTGATACAGATTTCTTTGATTCTAAGGTAAAGTTTAATATTTTAGTGACGATAGATAATATTTCTATTCACTTGAATATTAGAAATTTTCAACTTTTGGTTACCGTTATGCATGCATCGTCCCACTGATAACAATGAGCGTTAAATGATTTCCAGCAAGTGCTTCTGAGGGGCTTGTGCCGGAGCAAGCCAGTGTTGAGACCAGCATCTTTGGGCGCGGTGCTCACTCTGGCATTGCGACCGCTGCCTGATAGCCTTGCTATATCCCAGCTATGTAGTCAAGTCACCAACACTACTATGAAGCCTGGCACAAGTGGTCTCAACTCAAACGGCCCGTCTAAAGAGTCCGGAGATGTTGAGCTTCTGTCACAATTTATACTGCAGTTCCTAAGTGTGCCTGCCGTGATACGTCATCTCTCAAGCATGGTTCCTGAGGTACTTAACGTATAAATATAAGTACTGATATTTTTATAAAAAATTAATATTAATGCATTAATATCGCAATTAAAAATTATTGCAATTGAAATTGATGCACCATGATGTTTTGAAAAACAGGAAATTTCAAGATTAATCTCTACACTAACATGTTAAGTCTTTTAACAATACTCTCTGGAATGAAAGAAAATTTCCAAATTTTTCCCTTGACCCAGAATTTTTGACTTTGTACCATCATGATAGACACTAATATGATTTTGTTTAATTAGAGGAACTGTTTTTTTGCCGCACAGGAGTAGTGAGATTAGATTTGATCGTTGGTTTTTGATCATTTGATACATAATGAATGTGATCATTTGATTCATAATGAATGTGATCATTTGATTCATAATAAATTTGATCATTTGATTCATAATGAATTTGATCATTTGATTCATAATGAATTTAATCATTTGATTCATCGTGAATTCAATCATTTGAGATTACTATCTTCTGCCACTATGATCCACTCTGGCTGCACAGAAAATGGTGAAGTTTCTTCTGAGTTCGTTTTGTCGAGTTCACTTGTAACCACATTCGTCCATGGGCGCATGTAGTTCATATGATTGTATGTATAACTTGATGTTTATTTATTCTTGTATTTTTACATCAATCTTTCCTCCCAGAGCATTCAGTTGCTGGAGAAGAAGCGCATCTTTGAGCACTGCATTGCATACCTTCACAACGAACAGCAATTGCGCATCGTTTTTCACACCTTGGAAGCTTCTTACGCTCTCTGTCTACTCGCGAACTTGGTGCACTTGGCTCATCATTATGTCTCGGCTCACAATGAAGCATCCAAGTCTAATTCTCTGAGTGGCGAAGCTTCTTCTCATTTCGAAGAAGTTATGAACAAATTCATTTCAATTGTACGTCGCTTATTGGAAAAAAGTGGTGAGTATGTTAGCTGCAAGCAGGGACAACATGGAGCCAAGTTCAGCGGATGCAGTGGTGGCGCCACTTCGAGCCAGTGGCACCCAGTGTTGGGTTGGTTTGCTCAGCAGCTTGACCATTTTCTGCAAGAGAGCCTCGAGTTCGTGAGGCCTCAACTGCATTTGCTGTGGTCACAACCACTACTTAACTCGCTGTTTGCGGCGTTACCTCCTCTCCTGCCGCCACACGAGGTCATGGGTGGTGGAGATCGAAGCAATTCAAATGTAAGCACCCCCAGCCGGACTGGTTCTCGTCCTTGGTCGTTGCGGCGTATTCTGGACAAACGTTTGTCTCTCAATGCGAGCAGCAGATCAGCAAAGAATGGTGCTGCCAACAAGTTGAGTTGCCCTGGCGTTCAGCGCGTGGCCGTCACCTGTTCCCTCTACCAGCTCGCCATGCATACTTTGACGCAGCTCAGGATGGATGTACTTACTGGGCTTTGCTATAAAAGCGGCGTAGTGGTGCAGCTATGGTGGCTGTTGCAGTCTCTTGGGAATAATTGTGGACTCAAGACGTTTCTTGAGCATCTTGCTGTAGCTAGTAAGCCAACAAGCCCAGAATTTCACATGCTTATTTTGTTTTGCGATGCCACTGCTCATTTGGTAACCGTTCTAGATGACCTAGAGATGTATGAGCAGCAGAAACCATTCACTATCTCAGATTTCACCGCCATTGTCTGTTTTTTGAACGCTTTGTGCTACAAACTCATAGACCAAAGGCTGGTTGACTGCCGTCATGTTTGGTCATGCCCTTTATTTTCGGCAGCTTTGTCTCTCCTTACATTACTCTTTCGTCGCAATTCTCGGCGTCCTTTCGTTCCGTCTGAAAATACTTGGCTCATACCCGAGCTCAAACTCTCAACTTTCAAAGACAATTTGATGAACGGCAACATTGTCGAACAGGTTATACTGCAAACTTTGCCTCATGTTATACCTCATGCGGAGCGTGTGTTACTGTTTCGTGCGAACGTGTCTGCTCAGAAAGCAACTCTGGCATTAGCATCACCACACCCCTTCACTTTGATTACAGTCTACAGATCACGTCTAGTCGAGGACGGATATCGTCAGCTCAATACCCTTTCTCCAAACGCTCTCAAGGGCGTCATTAGAGTGCGTTTTGTTAACGAACAGGGCCTTGATGAAGCGGGCATTGATCAGGATGGAGTGTTTAAGGAGTTCTTGGAAGAGACTCTGAAACGCGTCTTAGATCCCTCTCTGAATTTGTTCCGAATGAGCAGCGAAAACCAGCTGTATCCTAGTCCTTCATCTGTACTAACAGACAACCACTTAGAATTGTTCGAATTTACTGGCAAGATGCTAGGCAAGGCTCTGTACGAAGGCATCGTTGTGGATTGTCCTTTTGCTGGGTTCTTCTTGAGCCAAGTGATAGGCGAGCAGCAGTCAGCCTTGTATTCCAGTATTGATCAACTCCCATCTCTCGATCCTGAGCTGTACAAAAACCTAACTTACATCAAACACTACGAAGGAAATGTGGAAGACTTGGGACTCACATTCTCATATGACGAGGAACGTATGGGTGAGCTTGTTAGTCATGAACTGCGCCCGGCTGGAAAGATACTTCCTGTCACAAATGACAATAGAATTGTTTACATTCATCTTATGGCTCACTTTAAGATGCATACTCAGATACGTAATCAAACACGAGCCTTCGTAAAAGGATTCCGCAGCATCATCAACCCTGAGTGGCTGGCCATGTTCTCCATCCCTGAACTGCAGCGCATCATCTCCGGTGACAATGTAGCTATCGACCTCAAAGATCTGAGGAAACACACGCAATATTATGGCGGGTTCCACGACAACCACCGCGTCGTGTGTTGGCTCTGGGACATCCTCGAGAAAGATCTATCAGCCAAGGAGCTCAGTCTCTTCCTGAAATTTGTCACGAGTTGCTCCAAGCCTCCGTTGTTGGGTTTTGCGAACTTAGAACCACCGTTTTCTATTCGGTGTGTCGAAGTTGGCGACGACGAAGACACCGGTGATACCGTAGGCAGTGTCGTACGAGGGTTCCTAGCTGTCGGCAGACGCGATCCTGTAAACCGACTACCCACAGCCTCCACATGCTTCAACCTCCTCAAGCTGCCTAACTACCAGAAGAAGGCCACACTTCGAACAAAGTTAAAGTATGCTATTACGAGCAACACGGGCTTCGAGCTCTCATAATTTTTGAGCTTCTTCAATGAGTGCCTTGTTTTCGTTCCGTTGGATGCGTACATTTATTTGTTACATGCTCCGTTCGTCAATTATTGCTCTGCTTGTGTTACTATTTTTTTGTCTACTTCCAAATTTTATATTCTCACTTTCCTAGGCTCTTTTCGTTCTGACCCTGCATATTCTCACGGTTTTCACTTGTTTTCCTTTCACTTTGAATTCGTTATTCTCTTCAGGGATGGCGATGTTTTGCAATTAATTACAATTATGTTGTTATTTCATTTCCAGTACTTTTCGATGGTAAGCCTCGAGCTACGTATAGGTACTATTTTTGTAGTTATAATTGGGCTGTATTTGTAAAATAAGCTACATAAAGTGCAATGGTCTAAGCAGCATGGAGCGTGCACTTAGAGATGAACGTGAGTGCAAGCAGTCATATATGTACGGTCTTTAGTGACGAAGTGGCTCGATGTATGGGCTTTCAAATTACGCTCTGTAAATTTCTTGCTCTCAATTTGTAAAAAATCGTGCATGTAATATCTATTTAAAAGTAAGTGACAAATGACAGCTGAAGGAAATCGGCTTGTAATTAATATATTTATCATAAACGTTATGTTAGTAATTAGTGTTAATTAGTCATAATATCCTGTCTATGTATTATACTAATGCAGGAAAATATCCTAAAACCTCTCCATGCACTAACGCGCGACTTTAAAAAGGAATTTCATTTCAAGAACATGTATTTTATGCAATGATAAATAATGTAACATTATACTTTAACGCTCTAGTTAACGCAAGAAAACCATTATTTTGATTTAAGACGTTCTTAAATGACCATCAAAATTGATAATAAAACTCGGTGAAAATTTAAAAGTTTATTCTTTTCAGACTTCATAATGCACAGTAAACTATTTATTTCAACAACATATATTGCAATCAACATGTATTTATTATTGAATAGTTAGAATACCTTATATTATTACTATAGCACATGCCATTTCATTAGATATGAGTATGTATAATAACTTAAAATATCTCGTTAACACTAATCATTCCGTTGTAGGAAACGATTGCTACGGAGTATCACACTTGTTTTTATAATACCTCTCAAGATTCTCCTTTAGCATTCCTTCGTCTAACTTATAGAAATCAATTCATCATTAATTGAATTACATTGCAAATCAAACTTTTTTTTGGTTGACTCGCTATTAAGAGTAACGTGCGTTCTGCTTTGTTGTAGAATTATGCATATTGCACTAAAGAACACTTAGGGTACGCACACAGTGGAAGCAGGTTTGCCCGCGCGGGCAACCTGCTCCAACCTGCCATAAGAATGAACATAGGATAATAATATAAGTGTTCACAGTGAAAACCTGTACGAATAGGCTTCTGTATTCTATGGTTTCAGGCGCCAGCCTGAGCAGGTAACCAGCACGCTGGCAACCTGCTTTCACTGTTTGCGTACCCTAAGAGAAGAATAAAGTCTCTCGCATTAAGCGATTTCAACGCCCAATAACCACTTGCATTGGACGCCGCACCGCGCAAATTATTTGCTGCCGTTGTTTTGCCGGCAATAGGATTTCAATTGTTTGCTAATCCTAAATTTTTCTTCGTTCGTTGAGTTACGTAGTATTTATTCTGTTGCGTAGTAAAAAAAGAACGTCCAAGTTAGAAAATAATGATGATGAATAATCAAAATCAAAACCCCGGCTTTTTAATACTGACTTTAAGAAAGTAAATTAAGTAAAGACGTATTTAAATTTTCCGATGAAATAAATAATGACGCAATTATGTAATTACAAGTAAATTATCTGCGTAAATGTGGCTGTGTGGGACAAAATTTCCACACCCAAGGCGTGGGTGTGGACAAATGCAATAAATAGTTAGGCAAGTCCTGTGCAAGTGGCTCCTGCGTGTGGATGTCTTCTACTTACAGCACATTTGGATTTGCAGAAGAAACGTCATTTCAATGCAGATTTATTTTAATGGTATAATGGTCCCATATTAATGAAAACAAGTGAAGGTTCAATTAGGTTTGATGGTATGATCATTTCACAAGCATTTTTCTAACGGATCCAACATGCACCAATCAAACTTTTATTTTTTATTAGAATTTAATTTCTTATTTTCAATTTTTTTAAATAAATTAAAATGAATAATAGATTATTTCATATAATAGTGGCATAGAATTCAAACCGTTCTAGCTCAATTGCTTTCTTGTCTGGAGTTTCGTTGAGGAATTCGTTTTCAAGCTGGCGTAGAATGAGACGGCCCGATCTGCTCCCGAACATCTGCGTGGTGAGAGAATTTAGTATGATCTTACTAAAATATAAACAAAATCTATAACGATACTAAGCTCATGTTTATAAAAAGTACGAATAATATCATTTCATGAACTTCAGTTCCCGTTACATAATAAATTTTGACTTTTGTTACTTGTTAAGTTATAATGAAACAGAAAAACTAAATTATTATGAAAGCTAGAATGCGATACTTGATAGATACCTAGCGTTGAAAATATTAAATAACATGTGTTCAATCATCGAGTCATAACAAACAACCGAGCAGAGAAAAAAAGCTTTCAAGCGAGCTGACGATTACGGTACAAATTCTTTAACCAACGTATATATTTTTCTCCCAGCAAAGGGAACATTAATTAAATGCTAGCAATGTTGTACTGACCGCGTTGACGACTGGTCTGTTGAAGAGCCTGGAGGGGGCGAGGCTGAAGACCATGGGCCCCTGTTCCCCCAGCACCACCTCCGTGTCCAGCGTCGCTACCGGCGTCATGTCCCCGGCACTGAGGTCCCAAACGTGCACTCTACACAAGATTAATTCCAATGACTTCCGCTTCAAGCAAACTTATCGAGCACGAGTACATCGTCCTGAATAATAATTCCGATGCTACACATTCATGCAGCACTATCATGAACGGATTTACTATCGTGGCGCAGCCTGAAATAATGAAATCTTTCAAATTATTCTTGTTCTCAAATGCTAATCGTTCTCTGATGACTGCAAAAATTGGTGTATGCATGGGTGTATGCCGAGTGGCTCAGATCACAAAGATAGCAGCAGCAAGTTTAAGGCTCGAAACCTGCTACTAGTTGAAAATTTCCGGTTGTAATCGGCAATGTGTCCAGGAGGTTAAGAAACTTGGCCTTATCAAAGCTGATATCACTATATTACATTATTTAGTTTACTGTTTTACCCGCAACTATCCACAACATAGGATCCGACTGAGACTCTCTCACCTTTGTAGCTCATGCACGTAGAAGACACAAGGCCTCTCGTAGGACCACGTGATGTTCACCACAGGTTGAGGGTTGACTACGTCTGGTGAGGGCCAGGTGGTGAGAGGGCGGGAGGAGGTTAGGGAGTGCAGTCTGACAGTGCCATCACTGCAGCCCACCAGCAGGTAGCTCGGCAGGTGCGGACACACGCACACGCACGTGCTGCTGCAAGTAGGCTCTAGCATGCAATGATTACATTCATGATTAGCATCCCAGGAAATGTAGTGACTTTCCATGTATATGTCTGCCATAAGGATAATAACGTGGCCACTCCTGTGCGCCTGTGCCTGGTGGCTCTAACGAATAAATATTTGAACAAAAAACTTGTTTATCTCACACACATTGAGCTTAGAAAACAATTCGATGGGCGACGAGAAAAACAACTTGTGTTATATCAGCAAAACTTGTGATTCGATTTTATCTCTTGTCGGTTATTTGGATAAGAAGTCAAGGATATTATTGGCGATAAATTGACAAATGACGGTCACACAAATGAAATAAATTAAATATTTATGATAATGACATTTTCTACAATGTTTAAAGTAAAATTTGCATAGTCTTACTGTTCTTTCTCTCAGAGAGGCAAAGTAATTATCAGTAATAGTTATTTTAAAGCGTCAAGTTTTCATTTGGTTTATTGCAGTATATCTATTTACTCCCTCACCTCCTCACCACCTGGCCCTCACCTTATAAAAAAACGTAAAATGGTATCGTAAATATGTGAAGCATTTGAATAATTCTATTATTCTTCAACATTGATTATAGAAAGGTTTATTGACAATTGAAGTTACAATTGCAGTCTTCCAAAATCTTTTCGTTACGAATCACATAACGATGAATTTATTGCTGCCCCATAAAATTAATAGTAATAAATTTTTTCGATTCCTGTTCGGAAAAAAATAAGTTGCATCAAATAAAAACCGTTATATTTATGGAAGATATATTACTTTTCTCATGTAAATGCCTCACCCATTTCGGCAAGAAATGCTTGTGGTTGAGTGCGCTGGTGAAGTCTGTTGATGTGCCGCACTGCGCCGCTGGTCGTGCTCACGTATAGCGTATTGGCGTCGCTGGCGCTGAGCTTGCAGTCGGTGCAGCCCAGGCGGCTGTAGAGATCCGCGCTGAAACGCAGACATCACTTGATCCTAAGCTGTCATGTTATGCATTCATCGAAAATACTACGTAGTGTGGGAATTTTATTTTGTAGCATAATAATAATGAGGTTTTGTTTTAGCTAGTAACTTTGCTTTATCTCGACCGCCGGCTGACTCACGTAAATTACAGGAATTGGCGACAAGCCAATACTATACTATTACTATACTATCCTATTCTATACTAACATTGCCTGACACACTAAAAGCTCTTGGGGCAGTACTATCACAAATATTTAAGAGTTGACAACTTCATCGGCCATTCACTGACCACTTTTCAAGTTAACACCACCAATCACAGACGAGATTTCGGCCGCTATACACGTACTAGAGAAAGAATTGACAGTAAGGCCTTGGACACTTCACTGCTGCATAGTTGTGCCAGTGTCGTAAGAGAGCAATCTCGCCTCGCTTCAATAAACTCAATGGTGTTTCAAAATTTTAAAATATTCCACAATTGACATGTTTGCGTACCAATTCTTATGTCGTTCGATTTTATTCGATGCCTACGAGTACGAATCTAAATTTATTTTAATTTTGTTAATAATAATCTAACCTGACCGATGAAAGCACAGAATAACGAAAGGCTTGGTTGACCATTATTTTGGACCAAGGTGATGCCCCCATGTGGGCTGAGACAGCCACCACCTCCCCCTCGTCGGTGAACGCCATGCGATCTCTGGTTTGGAACACCACCCACCACACCAGCTCACCACACGCTGACAAGCTCACAACCTGTACAGCAAATATTACAACGAAATAGTGAATAGAAAGTACTATACAGCGTGCATAAACGTCATGCATTGTCCGTTATACTATTCAGGCCAACGATGTGTGGCATTTCGAACTAAATGAAAAAATAGTCTAGTACCATATCGAACCCGGTGGAAGTCGGGTAGCTATTTCAAACTAGCGTCAGTCCTGAAAAGATCCGGTCAAATGACACGATTTTAGATCTTCTGCGAACAAGTCATGAAAAGTTCAAGAATCGGCGACAGGCCACATCAGGCCTACTCCTTAGCGCCGACATCACTATGTTATGTTATGTTACAAATAAAGCTAAGCAATATTCCAATATAGTCTCATTACATGCCTGGAACGCATTGCTCTCAACCGTCTGTTGACTCTCGTATTGGACGTCGACGGTCTGCAGGCAGATAATGGGGCTGCTCATGAAGCCATCTTCTGTCCCAGACGTCGTCGCACTCGCGCTGTCCGTTGCTTTGGGCTTTCTTGACTTTCCTGGCGCGTTTTTAGTTCCTGCAGGAGAACTGGGAGGCTCTTCGGGGTCGCGGTTTCTCAGGGTGGCGCGTTCAGATTCGCTGCAAGCTGAGTGCAGGGAAGTTTAAACAACGTTCGATACTTCTCAACACATGTAAAACTTTGATAAACAATTACTTTATGCATTACGGAGTAGAAAGATGCTGGTCAAAAATGCTTCAATACATAAAAAATCACGAGTTCAGCAACGATGTTTCGGTGTGTTAAACATCGTGCTCGTCCAAAGACCTGAGTTTCGAACATAAATAAATTGCAGGTCTGCTCTAGCCTTCTTTCTCTCTCTTTCATTATACACAAGAGCTAAATAATGAATTCACTGTACTCTTAAACTTATTAGAGATACATTTTTATCATTTCTTTGTTCCTGCTTTCAGCGAGTGCTCCAATCCCTACAATCCTTCAGAATAGTGTCCGAAAAATTAGTGAAGAAAACGTCTAAAATTGTTAAAATTATGCAATTCACGTTTTAATTTATGCAAAAAAATGCAATTCATTACTGATATTATATAAGTTTGTTCTTAATACAATTGAGCTAGACACAAATTTGCGTGAAAATATAAAAAAAATTTAGTCGCACGTCACCCTTTTCGTTACTTTAAACTCGTCTAACAAGTCGGTAGCTCCTACAAAGATAGAATCTCAGACATATGTCTGTACTCACCCGTTATAAAAGATGGCACTCTACATCTCCACGTCAGTTGGGACTTAGCAACGTCGCTAGGCCTTCTTAACTCATTACCATCTGATTCTGAAACTTGGACGTGAACTAAATTCATGTCCTCATCCAAAGTCATGTTGGGATGCAAATGAGCAGGTTCTTTGAGATCCCATACGGCCAAAGTTGAATCTGACAAGCCTGCCATCACAAGAAGCGGTCTTCCGGGACTAAATGCCAGGGCTTTAGGGGTGGAATTGCATCTTAAGATGTGTTTTGGCTGCGATGGCTCGTGTACGGACCATACTAAAACCAGACCGCTGTGTGATTGTTCAGACATGCCGTAGTCTGTTTCCGTGTCTTTGGTTCCAATTATCTGGAAAATCGAAATGATTTAGTATGAATTAAATTGATCTCGGTTCAAAAATGAAAATAAGTCGTGGATAAAAACCTTCCAAACTTAATTTAAAAACCGTATTAACATTCGCATGAAAAATCATATGAATTGCGATACATGGAATCAGGAAAGAGCGACGAAAATTATAAGGATTGTCACACCTCGCTGCCGAAGCCGTGTCCGGTCGCCACAACGGAAGAGTCACTTGATGAAAACAGGATGCAAGTCACTGCGCTGGTGGCAAGAAAGGCTCCAAAAGAATGTGTTTTATCGCTTGCATTTCCGCCGAAAAGAACACCGTGATTACTGAAGCCTCCGCCACCTCTGCCGTGGCCCAAAGAACCTCCTTCATAACTGCTGCTAGACAAGTAAACTGACTCTTCCTCCAGTAGCGACAAAACCACCTGAAAAATATAAAAACAAATCCTGGGAACAATAACGCCAACAAGTAATCTTTTCAAAATTATTTTGTGGACGTATCAACATCATAATCACCTCATTTTAATCAAATTTATCAAAATTTAATTATGTACAGGTACTAACTTGACGATACAGTTCACCCGCATTAGTTGTTTTTTAATAATAGCGGTTTCTGCGTTCATTAGGCCGTAGGCCTGTCGCCGATTCTTAACATAGCAGAATATTCACAGCATTTTGCGGTCTCGAACTCGCAACTCACTGCTACAATTCCGCTGTGCTTAACCGCCCGGCCTCTTCGCCTATTCTGACCAGAAACTGTCGCAAAAAGTTGAACTAATTTATTGTTTGATCACGTTCTGCCTCGCCACTTTCGGCGCCATCGTTTACCTGCGATGCGGCACCCAAAAATTTCGTCAGTCTCCCGACGTTGCTGGAGGCACTCGATGCAAAAGAATCGATTTCGTTGGAGAACTCCACCGTCTCACCGCCAACTCCCAGGTAATCCTGCGGCGTTGGTGGCTGCGTTAGGTTGCTAACGTTCACGCTGATCGGTCGCTGGGTCCATTTGCTCAAAGTTCCTATGACGTCGGTTTGAGTCTCTTGCGATAGGCTGTCTTCGTTCGTCTGTGTACTTGCCTGGGTGCAGAGATAACAGATATTTTCATGATTCAAATAAGATCCTACATTTTCTATTACATTAAAAAACTGAAATTTTATGTAGAAAAAACGTAAAAAACAGCAATCTTGCAGATATATGAATATGATTACGTCAACAATATAAGTCTGCGATAATTAAACTTTAGTCCTCAAACGTTTTGCTATTCGTTTGTGAAACATTAAACAGTTTCTAAAAAGTTAATAAGAATTCATAGAGCAATCTGTGAATAATAAACATATCATGCCTAGATTTTTGTTAGGAATCTAAAAGCAAATAAAAAATGCCAAGTAAATTTACCATTTCTTCTTAAAAAAACGCACTTTGTTTTATCATTAATGCAAACCTGTTTGGTGTTAGTGAGACCGAAGCTGGAAATAAATGCATCGTAGTTGATGGGCTGCATGGTTAGCAGGTCGACCGATACTGTGTCCAGGCTGATCATGGACAGCAACGTTAGCCCTCTGTTCACTTGAGCCGTCTGCAACAACAAGCATTTTACATAACAAAAATATGCATATTTAATTACGCGATCCAAAAATTATATATGTGCAATTATTTGCAATTATACAATGATAAAATTAAGCAGTCTTACAACCGAAGATTTTAACGAACAGACTGCCTCACGTTTTCCTCTGAACAACGAACACTTACAATCACCCTCCCAAAAAAAAAAAACATTTTTCATACTTCTGCGCTTTGCGTTCAAGGGCCAAGTAACTGTGGAACTAACAATTATCTAGCGTTCTCATTCATTTAAAATTTCAACATAACATGAATATTTACCTGATTCACTACGTGCTTCTCTTTGAGTTTGGCGAAATTGACGAAGCTTTTTGACGTCTTGGGCCTGGAGGGGTCTGAAGGATCCTCAGGTTCATCTGGTCGCATGGATTGCAAAATTGCGTTCCTGAGAATATCAGCAGTCGCGGGATCGTCCTGAGGCTGCGGCGCTTTAATGACTCCTTCCTCTATGCGATGCGCTTCTTCTTCGTCGTCTGTGGTCAAAGCCCCTCCGTCACCCTCGTCATCGACCATAGAATCGTCATCTTCGTCTTCAATAACATCAACGGTACCGTCATCTTCTTTTTCTTCTATGTCATCATCTTCGTCGGCTTCGAAATCCGATTCGTAATCCTGTCGTCATAAAATTTATTGACACGGGAGGAGTTGCTCACAATTTCTTTCGGCAACAAGCCCAACAATTTATTACCTCAACAAAAAATATTTTTGAAAATTATCCAGGTTAAAATCTTATCAACTGTTTAATTCGTAATCCAATCGAGCGTATATTATTACCACGTTGTGTACTCGCAGAATAATCAAGAGTCGAGAACGAATAACCCGAGACTTGAGTGAAAGTTAACCGAGACTTGAAAACAATGCCTAAATGATTAGAAACCATTAGCAAGATCAAGACGCTAATATTCAACAAAAATTATTTAAAATATCAGGACGCTCTGACGTAATGACTATAAATTATTCATGGATCGAGTCGCTCTGACACAATGTGTAGAAAATATTCAAATATTAAGTCAGTCAGACACAATAACTAGAAATCATTCACAGAACGCTGGACACATTACCTCGAAGTCATCCTCTCCGTACGGATCTTCTTCGTTGTCTGCTACGAGGAGCGCGTCTTTGCTTGTAGACGGTCTTTGGTCATCGGCGAGCTCTACAATTACAGGCTCTTCTCGAGTACATTGTTGAGGTCGTCCTCTGTGTCCTGGCGAGCCGTCATTGCCGTTAATCCCGCTGTCTTCACTCAATTCGGCAGCTGCAGGCTCTTCTTCTATCACGGCAATCATCTCGTCGACCTCTTCAGCATCGCCTACCTCAACAAACTTCGAGGATATTGATCCCTCGACTTCCTCTTCAATCGAATCTTCTCGACTCATGACTCGAGGACTCGATACATAAATACCTGAAATTTTTTTCCTCTTTAGCACTAATCAAAAAGTGGTCATTAATAATAAATAAAAATCAAATATTGTCATTTAAAAAAAATTTTAAAATAACACTCGAGCTTGAAATGAACAGAAATCATAAAAAAAACGTACCCGATTCATGCGTATCCATAGACAAATCTGCTTCACCAGTTTCAGGAACTGTGACTGCTGGTGGTTCCACACTTTCATCTTCTACGACTGAAACTTTAAAGATTTTATTTAAATATTATTTTGAACTCAAATTTATCATTTGCATAAAAATACATTGTTCGCACATCATGCACCGCACACTTAAATTAGTGGCTTTTCCAAGAGCATAAACGAGGTGTACAATCGAGGTGTAAAATCAAATGAACATTCACATGTTTGGTCAGAAAGAAACACACACAACTTTGGATCACTACTGGTCAAAGAAACTTATTGTTATTGAGAATAGATTTCATTGATTCTTAAACATAAGTTACGAAATAGTAAACTTACGTAAGCCTAAGTTTAAATTTAACAAATCACCTGCCAAGGGAGCCGTGACACGCGAAAGACGCGTGTCTCCTTTGCTCTCTCGTCTGCCGTTGGTCGCTCGGCTACCCCGGTCGCGTTCACCTCGCCCCGGCTTGAGCTTTACAGGATCTTCCTTCAGGTCCCGTGAACGTTCACTGCGGCTCTTGCCTTCAGACCGACGAGGATCCTTAGTTTTGTCTGAAGAATAACAGTTTAATTGCAGCTGTGGAGCAAGACTGAGATGAAAGGAATAAGTTGCTCATTCAGCAATTTCAAAGATTTTATCCAAATACCACTGAAGCAACACATCGACTCTAGCCCTGAAGCCAACCTGTTTGACTTCGAATGTCAGTGTCAATGTCTCAACATCGTTTAGCGGAATATAATGAACAGAAATAAACGATAGTAATAATGAGAGTTACAATAGCGAATAAATAGAAAAGTATATGGTCATCCAAATAACATTAGTTACCAGAAGAAGACGTCTTCGATGTACTTCTTGAGGACGATTCAGGATCGCGAGAAGTCCTGCGCTTGGACTCCTCCTTTGTGCCTGTAGGAGGGGCAGCTTTTGACAAGGTCGAGTCTCGACTCTTTGAAGTCAAGCGAGACGAAGCTGTTGATTCCATTGATTGACGGCCATCACGTGACGAAGCCTTGGTAGATTTTGAAACTCCTTTTGAGGAACTTGAAAACGCTTTACCGTCCGATCTCGTTTTACTCGATCCATCAGAAGAAGTTTTCGACGATTTTATTTTAGTGATGGTAGTGTTTGGAGGCTTAGATTTCAAATCAATTTTGGCGTTTTCGGAGGAAGACTTCCTGAGTGTGCGAGGCGACGGCTTGGTATAAGGTTCCTTTTCTTCGGCTACAGGTTTATTCTCCGATTTTGATCGGCTTGTTTTACTAGGTTTTACTTCGGATGATTTTCTTGGTTTCGAGGCTTTGCTTTCTGCATCACGAGATTTCGAGGAGTCGCGTTTAGTACGGCTGCTTCGGCTCTTCTCCAATTCAGGCATTGCGGCAATTTTAACGGAGAGTTCAGAAAAAGTTTTGAGTGTCAATAATTTGAACAAAATACTGAGGGTAAACTAAAGAAGCAGTTAGACACTTGTTTATTTAAAGGGATTGCTGAATCAATTGAAGATCATTTTTCCAGACTAAAACTTGTGTCGAGGATATAATCGTAACAATAAACGGTAAACTTTATATCACAGACCACTAGTAAATGAAATGTAAGAACAAATAAATAGACGAGTGATATCCTGACACTGCTATGTACTTTACTTCAAAGGCAAGTCCTGGGATAGATGTCATGGTCACACGCGTTTAATACCACATCGATTAGAAATGCAACCTTGAAGCGTAATTCTTCTTTTAGACAACTGCCATAACACGACTATTCACATTGAGCAATGCTTTCTCAACTACAATAAAACTTGTGCGTTCTTTCCCTCTTAGACGATCGGCAAAAAAACTGGCCCTGGAAAACATGCGCGTTTGTTGAGGTCAACTTACGGCACGAGCACATGGAGGGCTAAGCAACACTGTGGACGGGTTGTCTGTTCTCCGTATCACGCGCGGCAGTCGATCGTTGCCATGACGCTACACGTCAACATTCGGTTCTTGAACGAGGCAGTTTTCAAGGAAATTCTTGATAGGGTAAATTCAAGTTTCAAGGAAATTCTTCAGAAGGTAAATTTCAGGTTTCAAGGAAATTCACGATAAGGTCAAGTTAAAGTTTCATGGAAATTCTGAGATAGTACAAATCAAGTTTCAAGGGAATTCTTGACAGACCCAAATTCAAGTTCGAACATTTTGGTTTACGATCGAGGACGTTCGTATTAAAAGCTAGGTGGCAAGCGCATTTATTCATATTCATGATAGTTTCTCATCATTAAAAAAATCCTCAATTAATGCGAATTGCAAACAAATGAAGGTAAATTGAAATATAATTTATGTTTATTGACTTCCATGTACTCCACTATAAATCAGTAAAAATCAAGTACGAGTGTTTAGTTATGGAAATACATTGAAACTGTTCTCAACCTCATATGATCTTTCATTTGATTCACCTTAATATTTTTAATAATAATGGATTCGAAATAGGAGAAGATTTAAAATAAAACTTACACATTTTATTCAGATAACAAAATTTACAAACTGCGTTTACATGGTATACGTTTGTTACTAACTTTTCCCTGTATTGCTGCACCAAATTCTATAGAAAATACTTCCATGATCGATGTCCTAGAAATTCCGCTAAACTGTCAATTCCCGGACAGGCGAGTCAGGATGGAGCGACACTCCGAGCAACACGGCGGGAGGCGGTCGCTCGGTCAGTCCCTCCATCAGCAACTGCTGGTCAACAACAAATGCGATGACGGCCCTTACGAAGACATCCAGCCACACGCCTGACACCAACATCAGCACGGCCAACGTGACGTTCACGGCCGCCAGTAACATAAGCATCACAAACGGTGGCACGAATAATGCCGACACGTTGTGCTGCGTGGTGAGCACCGGAGAATGGTGATCATCAGTCAAATATATTCATCAGCTTGAGTATAACTTAACTAATACGATAAAGAAATATCTTTGAAGCTATTTCGACTGAAACGCAATTTTGTGACAATTAATTTGTGTCCTTTTCAATAATTTTGTGACAGATCTAAACATCACTCGTGCTACCGTAAGGCTACATAAAAAAATGATAATTAATGGTCATGAATAAAAAATTATGTAACAAAGTCCTAAGTTTGAATTCTTGCAACGGACAAATAATTTAATATGAATCAGATTATCTCGGTCACATCCTCTCGCACACACACATTCAGCTTTCATTCATCCGAATTTTTTAATACAAAGAGAAGTAATTACCCTAATGACCGCTGCACAGAGCCAGAGTCCAGATGAGAAGAACAATAAAAGCTCCATTATCCCGACCAGTAGTCCAGCTAGCACTGCTCATGGAAAAAAATTTTATATTGATTTTTTACTGAAACTACCTTCCTTAATGGAGGCAAAATATTATTCTTAATAGCAATGAAAATTTTCATATACATATATCATAATTTATTGTTATCACTGTAATCAAATAAACATTGCAGGAAATCAAAACAAATTTTATAAGTTGAATAACTATAAAGACGAAAGTAGCAAATACTTTGAATTGGCATCAGATGCCAATTCCTGGCGACCTCGCACCAAGAACACGAAAATATAAATAAACTCTCAGTTTAAAACACTGGAACATTGCGTTATAATATGTTAGCATTAATGTACAGTTCAGGCACATACCTCTGTGTTGCGGGACGCAGCATTCGCTCTCAAGAACGCCGCCGTGGTACGCAGCAGCGATAACCAGTGACTTCACTGCCGTCGCCAGCTTGACAAGGATACAAATTCAGCGTGAAACGAGAACCGTAAAAACCGTAAAAAGTGCAGAACAAAACAAAAAAAAATCATTTTTATTACAATTTCGAGCTCATAAAACAATCCTCAAAATGTAAATAAAACGTAAAAATTAAACATGACGTCAAAACACACGACGTCTTAATAAAGTGAAAATAAAAAAAAAATCCGTTTCGTATTTCAGTTGGAACACATTTTTCGAGGGCACGTATTTTGCGTTAAGCAATTTAACCCTAATACTCGTGGTGCTGAGGTATCTAAATAAGTCAGGGAATATAATTCGGTAATAAGAGAAACTTAATACTGCCGAACACTAGTAACATAATTTGCAGGTAAAACTCACCAACAGAGATGCGGCAATGACCGTGCAAGATGTCGGCAGGGAAAGACGGTAGCAGGCGCGCTGCCTCTCGGTAGCAACGGCTGCATTTTCCTGATCGCACGAGATGTCTAGTAACAATATTGTTTCATCAAGACAATTATTTATATGCATTTATTAGCATATTCTCGTGTAATTTTCATATGTTATTATGTATTTTTATACAACATAGATTTTCATACTATATGTTAAATGAAAATATGAATAGATTGATCATTGAAAAAAACTGCGATCAGTTCGTAGGCAGCATTTAGTAAAGTCCCTTGACAAAATTAAGATGCAGCTTATCTAAAAAAAATTTTCAAACAGGCATGTCGATATGGAATGTTTATCGAATCTTCTAAAAAAGAAATAGCAACAAACTGAGAGAATTTCTTCTCCCACATGTGTTGCATGATGGCATATAGAGCCGTACTTCAAATGGAAAACATACCATCATGAAAGAAACCGTACGCTTTGAAGTCGCTGCCATCATGCATGCCCTCGCTATATTCTCTAGCACGGGAGAATGTGTGGAGAACACAGACGCGATACCTTATCTAGAGTCGATGATTAAAGATTAAATACAGAATAATATAAGAATTTATGGGAAATGATGCTCGTTAAATTCAATTTTTCTAGAACATTAGAATACAATAACTAAGGAAGTATTAGGAAGTCTATTTTATTCAACATGTACTTCCGAAAGGGTCGTCCTTCCTCTGTAGTAATAAACGTCAGAAGTTACTGTTCACAACCATGGCAAACATGACTGAGATTCTTCTATGCATCACCGCAGTTTTATACACCGGTTTCACCGGATGAACAAGGACTGTACCCGCTGCGATTACACGAGGACGCAGTCGAGTAAATCACGTCAGGTCGCACAATAACGCGTTGGGAGTCGGTAAATAGACATACAGCAATATTAATTAGATCAGTACTACAGCAAAACTAACTGTGCCTATGGAAAGCGAAACCCTATAACACAACGACATCTTCGTACACAAACTGCATCCGTAACATCGTACGGGATAATTGAGACAATTTTGATGAAAACCGCTATTTAACAACCATGTGGGTGCTCGCTGGTGGCATTAGGTTCATAATAATAACTGTAAAAACAGTTTCAGCGCCTTTTAGGCCGTACTCTTGTCACCTATTCTTAACATCTCGGAGAACATTTACAGCGTATCAAAGTCTCGAACACGCTACTCACTGTTTCAATTTACATGCGCTTTACCGCCCGGCCTCCTCGCCAATTCTGACCAGAAACTGGCGCACAGAGCTGGGATCGAACCCGCACCTCTCTGCTCCAATCCTGGTACTCTGAACTGTACCTACTGGGCTACCCTGTCTTGTTACATGCACATAGTAACACTATTCATTGACCTGTATGGTATACTTTTACTTAATATACGTACAAAACTTTTGAAACTAGTTTGGTTATTCATGACCAGTATCTTTTGATTTGTGTTGTTATACGAGCCAAAAGGCAGAAGAAGAGAGAACTGTTTTGGATTTAATTTCCGAGTATATTTAAATTCAACGTATATACAATGGGATACATAAATTTGATAGGTGTTCTGTGTTATCCTATTTAATTCAATGAAACCTCTATCATATATTAATAGAATTTACCACACACAGAAATTTCTTGAAAGTGAACATCATTGCATTATCAAATATAATGTTTACATTTCAAGTCTACGAATCCAATTTCATGTTATTCCTTCTTCTTGGAATTGAATGTCGTCACGTCTTCGAATGACGTGACGACTGTAAGACTGCTAGCAAAATGCCAACATTCCTGTAAAAAAAAGTACAGTCAGTTTCTACGGCTCTTGGCACAGCGTGAGATCGGAGGTGGCATACCACGAGTTGCAGCCCAGCAGCCAAAGACCGTAGTAAGAGAAAGCCACGCGGTAATCGTCCCCGGAAATCACTTTTGTGTCCATTGGCCCCCGGAACATCGACGTGTCAACGATATCGCCATTTGAGTTCACGAACGGAGAAGAGGGATCAGGGCGCGTCATGTCTACCACAATTCGACCGAATGAAGCCACCATAGTTCGGTCTCGGGCAGTCGTCGGGTTTTGTACCAATACCAGACCAAGTGCCTGGCATTGGTCTCGAGCTCCCCTGTGAATTGAGCAACAAGTTTTTTTGAAATTAAAACGAGATATTCACAGTGAGAAACAATTCGTGAACTGAAATATCTTCTTTTAGACCACGAGGACACAAAACAAAAGAATGCAAAAATAAAATCTTTGGCAAATAAAATTATACCAAACATGTGCATTAATACAACGATGAAGATAATAGAATTCTGACTCATTACCTTGTTTTAGCTAATGAAAAGTAACATAAATAAATTTGTTTTTCTTCAGCCTGTGGTCACAAAAGAATCTGCAAGAGTTTACTTAACGAATCAGATTTAAAAATGTACAATACAATGGCGACCCGCCAAACGAACGTTCTCGCTTACGATCAAACCACCATACGAACCGTTAAATCGGAAAATCATGCTCTGCTCTACGATCCTGGGCAGAGATAGAATAGAATAGAAGTGTCGGCACTGAAGAAATAGGGGATCTGGCCTTTGGAACCCGATCTTTCCATAACTGACGATTGATTGAGATAGCTGCTGGACTTATTGGCAAAAAATAGCGAAATTTAAATTTAACAGCGCGCAGACTCCCACGCTGAAGCTGGGCGGCCTTCCATTGGCACATTACCGGGACCGAATTGGAATAAGAAAAATCCAGGCGATGTATACGAGGTGAGAGTTTGTGGAACTACGTACATCACCCGGAGAAACTAAAGACGAGTGGAGCCCAAGATCATTTTATGTGCAGTCTTCAGTACTTCGGAAATGTGCAAGATATTTAATTCAAATCGAGATTGAAATGGACGACACGACCTTAGACAAGTTCGTTGTAAAGCGACTGTATTACGTAGGAGCATTGCCTAGCCCTAGCCCATCAAAAAAGCCGAAATCGAAAGTTAACGCATGTGAAGTTTAACTATATAAACTGATGGAGTGACTGTGATTAGTTCATAATTCGTTCGCAGTTTATAATGCTAGCTTTAGTCATAACAATTTAAACAAAGTTATGTGAATAGCTAAAACAGTTAATTATACATTATTTTATGTAAATTATGTTATGTCGTATAAAAAGTATTTTTTTTGGCAAATTAAAGTGCAGTAAATACGTGAAACGGGGGTCATTTTACATTAATTGCAATGGGAAATATGTAGGTTCGCATTTAGAACGAACCGCTATGCGAACCGAAATCCTACCCGACTAAAGGTTCCATGCCCCTATCAGCAATTATTTAACTTAACACAGAGATATGAACTTCAACTGCGATCTTGCTACAAAGATGATACGCCTCAACGCCCCCACGTACCTGAAGAGATATCAGGCTGAGCTGTGGGAGTCGGCACAAGTCTCTTCCCTGTGGAGAGGACGAGTCCGGTATAGTATAATGTATACGCTGGGTGTACCTGAGCCGGCCTCACTCAACACGTCGGTATTGAGCACACAACCTGGAGTCTAGGAATCATTACCAAGAAACGGCTGCATTATTAAAATTCTAGAATGTATGAAGCGAATAAATATTTCTACGGTACAAGAAAGAGACAAAATGTTTCGAAATTCCAGAATAAGTTTTGCAAAAAGGGGGCTTGCAATCCTTTTCTCGACGAATACGACAAAAATGGAGTAATGTTTGAGTGCCGAAGCCGACAAAGATCGACAGTGAATCCAGGAACTCGATCCTGCTCATAGAATTCGCTAAAACAATTGCAACGCTGGGTGCTAATATGAGTAACTTCGACGGTAATAATTAAATAAAAGGTTCCATAAACAGACCTGTATAAAAGGTTCAATCTTAAAAAATATAAATCAGTACTCACTGCAGTGAGTGACAGAGAGCGCATTTTCTCGACGAAGAAAACTTGAAGTCACTGACGGACAGACGGACGGACGGATGGACGAACGGACGGATGGACGGACGGACTGACATGGCGAGCACAATAGTGCATTTTTTCCATAAATGAGAAAATGCGCTAAAAACGCATACCTGAAGAGGGTCCCACGCATATGCTCCGCACGCGTCCAACGTCATGCAGGACATGAAACGAGTCTGCACCGCCACCGCAGCACTCAGGCCTGCGAACTTTTTAGCAGCCTTCCCTTCTGCTGGTGACCGCAGCATACGCGTCTATCTGCACCAGTGCGATGTGAAATGCCCACAACCACCTGATCAGCTTCATCGCAAACGCATACAATGGAGATGCGCTAGATGAAGAATGTCTGTGAAGATGCCAGACGATGGAGTGGAATACAGCAACAGTGTGAACTAGTGTTAGGAGCGACGTGACAAAAGCGATGATAAACGAAAACTTTGCGAGGAGAGCAAGCGTTCAAAAAATGTAAGGTATGAGCTGGATATTTCCTTACTTATTTGGAGCGCATATGCATGGACACTTACTTCTAAAACTAAAATGGTTTCGCATAAATTCTAAACTGTTCCTCAAAAGTTGCACAGACAAAGAACTTAATTTTTTTCAAATTATATCATTTAACCGGTGACAAGCTAACAATCTTTAGTTACTGAGAAGTTCATTTGCTCTTCAACTCACGTGCATTCTCAGGAGCGATTTTGTATGTCATTGATGCTGCAAGAGCGGCAGCTAGAATAAAGTCACAACTTTAAGAGAACACAATAGACCAAATGATACGTTAATGATTTAATTTGTGCTAGAGGAAGAAATCGATTCAATTGCAAGCTTTTGCGTCAGGTGGAGTAATGAGTACAATTGAGACACTCGTAGGAAAAGATGATGCACATTTGTCAAAGCATGGAAAAAATATAACTCAGTACTCATTGCAGTGAGTGACAGAGAGCGCATTTTCTCGTCGACGCAAACGTGAAGTCACGGACGGACAGACATGACGAGCACAATAGTGCATTTTTTTCATAAATGAGAAAATGCGCTAAAAGCCATCAAGAGGCACCAATGTTTGCGTGTATCTCAGATCACACCTCGATACCTCCAGTTAGTAATTCATGTTCATGGAGGGAAAAAAGCCTCACAATCGCTGAAGAAATAACATTCTGAATGAATAACAAATTTGACAATCATGACTCCTACCGTGAAAACCCATTACGTTCAGAGATGATATTATATTCAATATCTGATAATAGAAGTCATCGCACGTTGATTGTTTGCATTCATAAGTAATTCTTAAATAATACTAAACACGCTATCGAATACAGATCGCAATCATGTTTTGTCAGTAATCAACCTATTAAGGTAAGCTTTCAGCAATGTCAATTGTAAGCATTTCCATTTTATTTATACTGGCACTATTAAAAATAATATAGAACTACATATTACTGAACTGAGAAAATTTCACAATTCATTTCCCGTGTCTATTCCACCAACAAAATAAACAACTTTAAAAGAACCAACTCAAGGCGAAATGATCTGAACGATTTCATGCGGTTCGTTGCCCCTCCGAAATAACTACAAGAGATTATGGTTGAACTATATACTACTAGTTCAACCATGCACGAGATAACATTTATTGGGCGCTCTAAGAAAACTGAATCTCGGAGCGAGTTCGAAGGAAAGAGATTTTTTCAAAGATTTGCTCGAATATTTTAACCAGACAGAATAGAGCCCGTAAAGACTCGCTGATTTACACGAAGCAATCGCTGCAAATGAGGAAAATAAATTAGAACTTAATTAATGATCACTTCGAGCTGTCATTTTGCTTAAAAATTGTCACAAAATTAAACTTGTGAGGACTTAGCACTTTCGACGTGGCAGTGAAACGTTTCAAATAATTGTCGGGCAAGTGCTTACATCACGCAGAAGCTGCAGAAAGAATCCCAATGAACACTAAAAAGCACCAATCAATAAAAAATTTAACTACACTTTAATATAAACTCGTCAGCCCACAGAAACATCATGCAAATCATACGGATTTACTGAAGTGATACAAAGCTGGAAATTACTGGAATGAGACATTTAGTCTACTAATCCTTTAATAGAGTTCTGTCATAAATAATTCTTGCTACAATATTCCTAAAACGCTTTCTGCAGAAACACGATAAGGGTTTAGCTACATGGGTTACTTTATTCGAACACGTACAATATCTAGGAATCTCAGCCGAATGAAGCACAGGGACGTTCGATATGATCTCGGACTAAATACGACTCTTGTAACTCCAACTGCATAGAAGTATGTAAATCTTTCGCAAACCTAACTTGGATAATGAGAACACAACGACAGTTAGCGTAATTATATATTATTATAAACACTCCTTCCTCACAGCAGCGAACAGCGAAAAAGAATGATTCTTTCATTAAAATTATCGTTAAACTCGAAATAAACTTCCCTGCAATAATAATTATTACAGTCAAAAAATTTTTAGAATGCGTACAAGAATCCAGCAAAGGATAGGTCCGCCAAGACCAACGTTATCGGTGAGTGAACCCTTAGGAAAAAACTAGAATGAGCGATGACTGCAAGGTTGCTCAAATGCAATGCCTAATGCTACAGTTTGCTTATAATACAATTCTAACACAACAAACGCATTCTTCGGTATTTCGCGTGCCAAAATATAGTAGACGTAATCGCTTCATAAAAACAAATATTAATAGGATTTTAAAAACGTTATTTAAATTATAGACGTAAATTTTATGATAGACGTAAATTTCAAGTCGTAGTAGCTATGTATTAATAAATGCTACGTTGACGAGTCTAGCGCCAGTAAATTTGTTCAAGCCGGGTCGAAAAAGTATACATATGAATATCAGGCGAGTTTCATTACGGTAAAATAAATCCCAGCATCTAAATAAGAATAAATTTTACACTTGGAATTACTGTTCTCCTGTGACGGAGACCTTATCTCATTAAATATGAAGTATATAGCAAGAGAAGGTCGCGTAACGCAAGGACTGTGAGCTCAGCGGTTGCGGCCTCAAACTGGTTCAGCAACCATCTCACTATCATTAGGAAATTGTCACAGCAATGATAACTAACACCACCGGCGCCCTTGCAACGCATCGCTGCATTCTGGTCAAAATCTAGGTTGTTCTCATATCAAGAATATCTCTATCCCAAGTCGCTAAAACGAAAATATCGGAGTTTTCGGTTAAATTTACGCTCAATTTAAACCTTGATTTTATGTTGTAGGTATATTTTTCAATAAAATTAAAAAGAGAAGAGAGAATTAAGAAACTACGCTCAATTTAAATCTTGATTGTTTGTTGCAAGTAGATTTTTCAATAAAATGAATAAGAGAAGACGGAATTGAGAGACGATGTGCATTATAAGCAATTGAGTTAAAAGCCACAGATTTCTAAGACGACTCGGACGTACGGTGCAACCGCTCAGCAGGTAATATTATAATATTATATCTATATTATAATATTATATCTATACCCTTACTTGACTCTTATACACGAACCTATGCTATACAGAAAATAACCTATGACTTCGTTTATACAACTACAATCAGCACAATGGACTACACTTGGTAACAATTAAGAGTAATTCAAGTATAATAGAAGTTAAAGCACCCATTACATACATAACGTAATTCTCAAGTGCAACTTAGTATCCAAGCAGCAGACGTTGAAGGATTCGTGAAAATCATGCGCAGAAAACGCTAACATTCTCGACTCAAGCTGCCTGAAGAAAAGCTTTGCAATCAACTGCACCTAAGATCGCCAGTTGTCAGTCTTATACATGACATCTTAATGTACGCTCGAAATTAAATGAATCTGAATGAAAGAATCGACACGTTATTCAATTAGACTGAGAAAAATACAAAGCATTGATTTTTATCTCATAAGTAAGCATTAATGTGAAGTCATTATCAACAGCAATCGTGACCGGCAGTTTAAGCGTAAAATAGATATTTTATTTGAATGACTATAGGCTGTAAGGCAAAAACCTTGTATTAATTTTCATTCTATCGTCAATCAATGAAGAGAAACAACAGCTCCTATTTTATAATTGCTACAGCGCAATTACGAACTTCATTAAAACCAAAAATAGTTCCTACTTTTCCACGGAAAAACTGGTTTTTCTCACAGAGCTTCAACAAGGGTTTTCTCCAAGGTTCTTATGTCTACCAACTGTGTTTTCCAAACGATTGCTTCAGTAGATTACACGTATCACTATTACATTTACGCTATAAATTTGGAAAAATTTATAATCCTAAAATCATAAAGCATCAAAATAACAACGGGCAAATGCTCCATTAAGGAAAACTGTAAAAATGTAACAACTTTATTGAACATTAAACCCCCACTGACATGCAAATAACTAACTAAAATTCAAAAAACAATAATTGTTGCTGAGAGATTTTGAATGGGTAGTTCATTATCCGACACGTTCATACCCAAACATTGCTTTTTATCAATGATGTTGGTCAATGTTCGTTTAAGTTTTAAATTTACGATTTGGAATGCGCCTTACTGGCCTTGCATGAAAAAACTATACGATAGGAATATCTTTTGGGAGCCTTTGCATGAGGCTTAGCTCGCGATATAAAAATTTCCAAACCTAATTTGCTCGCAAAATAGCGAGAAAACTAATATTCTTCCAAGACAATCTATCGCGGAGGAAAAATTTCTAGAAATGGACAAGCTTCGAAGTTCAATTTTCGCGCAAATAAATTGAAATTTGCAGGGTAACTCTCAGACAGCCAGAAAAGATTTATTACTCCCATGCATGTAATACTTCACCTGAAGATCCAACACAAAAAAATTTCTTCCAGACTAGGAGTTGCAATTTGTACAAATTAGGAGTAGCTGACAGCATCAACATCTTATTGGGCGACTATCAATTAAAATGGGACTTTACTTCGAAGTGTGGTGGTGGTGGTGGCGGTAGAACACCGCAAATGGAAGAGAAAACTCTACAACTCTTCAAAAACGCAAATTATATCAGCATTTACTACGTCAGATCCAAAATTTACTAATAATCCTTTACTGGATAATTCCTTCTCAATGTACTTAAAAGGCGGCGATAACCCCAAATTAAAATGTCTTCCAAATGACAGCGCTGACGGTGACCAAATGGAAATTGGGAACTCGTCATTACGGAGCACATCAAAAAATCCACATAAAATCCCCAACAGCAAACAAGCGCTCAGTCAGATCCAAAATTTACTAATAATCCTTTCCTGGATAATTCGTTCTCAATGTACTTAAAAGGCGGAGATAACCCCAAATAAAAATGTCTTCCAAATGACAGCGCTGACGGTGACCACATGGAAATTGGGAACTCGTCATTACGGAGCACATCAAAAAATCCACATAAAATCCCCAACAGCAAACAAGCGCTCAGTCAAATACAAGAAAATCTAACAACCGCCAACTTACCAGCTGCCAGCGGTGCATTATACACTACAAGAACGAAGTTTTATGCGTCTAGAGTATTTACATGGGAGTCACTGGCCGCACTTCAAGCCACTTTTTGAGCGCCGGTTTAGACGTCACGGTCGATATGAGATCCCGAACTTTAGGTGCGGCGTCCAGACAGTCCTTGTGCTGGCTGCTCAGCTGACTCAGGTAGCAGGCTACGAACACGTCCACCCACGTCAACTGCGACACAGCAACGTTATGTTCAACATTGGCATGTATGTATATGCACGCTACGAACACGTCCACCCACGTCAGCTGCAACACAGCAACGTTGTGCTCAACATTATCATGTATATATATGCACGCTACGAACACGTCCACCCACGTCAGCTGCAACACAGCAACGTTGTGCTCAACATTATCATGTATATATATGTACGCTACGAAAACGTCCACCCACGTCAACTGCAACACAGCAACGTTGTGCTCAACATTATCATGTATATATGTCATGCAACCACAATGCTTTCAAAATAACCATGTATACCACGTGTCACATAATATTAGGCCATGTATATAATAGTATATATATAATACCAGTAGGATTTGTTATAAATGTTAGTTACATAGTGATAAACACGAAATCTTGTTGAAAAACCATATGAAACAGGATTAGGAAATTCTCAACGTAAGTGTTTGACAACATTCCCCATTTTGGTTTTCATATTCTGCTCTCGATGAGATTTCGACGCATCCATACTATGTTTGTACCTAGATTGAAATACAAATAATGCACTCGGAGAAATGAATGGATCATATTGTTCAAATAGTGGCTTTCCTTCTCACACACAGGACGAGCAAAGATGGGACGTGGCACCGACTCGCTTATTTTGCCTGTGCAAACTAGGTCAGGACGGTCCTCACAGTAGTAAAACTGCGCATCGCTATTTGGCCAAAATCATACTCATTTCTATGAGTGTGCAATGATGCATAGCGAAGTCTGACGCATTAATGTCCCGCCTTATAGGGGCACTAAGAGCATCGCTATTCGGACAAAGTCTCCCTCATTTCTCAGTGTGCAGCAAAAGCCCCAAGCACCGCACCTCGTCACCACAGAAGAAGGTACGTCATGTGATAAATTATCAACATGTAAGGTGAGGAGATAACTCAGTATAATGCTCGTTATAAGTTGAGGAGATAACTCGGTAAAATGCTCGTTGTAAGTTGAGGAGATAACTCAGTATAATGCTCGTTGTAAGTTGAGGAGATAACTCAGTATAATGCTCGTTGTAAGTTGAGGAGATAACTCAGTAGAATGCTCAACATGTAAGCTCAGGATAAAACTCGGTAAAATGCTCAAGATGTAAGGTGAAGAGATAACTCAGTAAAATGCTCCAGTTTTAAGGTGATAACTGGTGAAAATGAGCGGTATATAGAGTGAAGGTAACTGATGAAAATGCAAGGTGATAAGAAAACTTCTCAAATGCAATGTGATTTGAGAAGTTTTCAATTTAATAACATGACCGGTCAAAATGAAGCGATAGAAAATGCGATAAATTTTAGTTCAGAAACGCCTTTAGTCCTAGAAACGCCTGATGCCTGGTGCAATTAAAAAGAATTAACTACTCATTTGATCACGATACTTCACTAGATGAAAGTACTTTGACAAAACCGAAACTATGTATAAAAAATTACCTAATAACCAGAAATTTTCGTAAAAATATATAGACTCCGTCCTTAAAAATCAGAAGCAGTTACATGATCCGACACAAAGGGCAAGTCATGTCTAAGAAGGAATATTTTTTATTACATTCTAGTTCAAAGGAGCAAAAAATTCTCTACTTTGCAACTGTGCATTATTAAAAATAGAAGATCAAGAAACATCTTTCGAGACCAGCATTTTTCACAAAAAGAAAACGAGTAGCATTATAAAAAGCAGGGGACAAAGCATGGGTTCAAACGAAAATGTGGCGGACAGAAAACATCTTTTTCTGCTTTTGTCGAGAAAAAAGCAAGCCTCGACAGCACTTGATGGTTCGAAACCATTAGGTGGCAGCTGAGTGAGTGCAATCAGACGAAGCCGTAGCATTTGTTTGGACGTAAAGCCCCGGCCTTAGCGCACGGCTCTAAAGGATTCCGTGTTGTCGTTGCCTTGACGAAAATAAATTTACTGATACGGGAGACTTAAAATAATGGAGGACCTGGCGCGTTAGAACATGTTCGGGCATGTCTAGACATAGCATGATGATTGGGTACATGCTCAACCAAAAATTTTGCAACCCAACTCACAGGTGCGACGTTGAAGTTTATTAGGAAGTTTGTTTGAACGTTATTAGGGAATCGATGCGTAAGCAAATTCAAATGGTCCACCATTAGCAGTGTATTCGAACTCTAACATCACTACATTACGCGTTGCATACTAAGTTTGCACAAAATTGGTGCAGCGAAGAAATATAACGTATTTGATACATGTATATCATTCATTTGCCCCCGTATTTAAAGTATCTTGCATTACGATACTTAAGACATTTGACGGAGGCAGCATGCTATAATTATTTTTTATTTATTCACATTATAACATAATGCTTTCTTACTTGGCATAGACGATCTGCGCTGCTACAGGGAGAAGGTCATGCACGCTGTCGGCCACCTCATCCCCAACGGCGGCCAACCATGGGTCCTTGGAGGACAAGCCGTGAACTGCGCCTAAGTAGCGGCAGATGGCCACAGACTGGCTCAGCGGACGACCATCGACATAGAGGACAGGCACTTTCCCGTACGGCGTATCTGCAAATAAGAAATACTAAGATACGTTCCAAAGATTAACATTCGATACAAGGAAGTTAGACTAGAGGACAGACACTTTCCCGTACGGCGTATCTGCAAATAACAAATATTAAGAGACGCTCCAAAGATTACCATTCGATACAATGAAGTTAGACTAGAGGACAGACACTTTCCCATACGGCGTATCTGCAAATAAGAAATACTAAGATACGCTCCAAAGATTAACATTCGATACAATGAAGTTAGACTAGAGGACAGACACTTTCCCATACGGCGTATACTGCAAATAACAAATATTAAGAGACGCTCCAAAGATTAACATTCGATACAAGGAAGTTAGACTAGAGGACAGACACTTTCCCATACGGCGTATCTGCAAATAACAAATATTCAGATACGCTCCAAAGATTGACATTCGATACAAGGAAGTTAGACTAGAGGACAGGCACTTTCCCGTACGGCGTATCTGCAAATAACAAATATTCAGATACGCTCCAAAGATTTACATTCGATACAAGGAAGTTAGACACAAGTCCCATTATCACGAAGGTTCACCGTTAGCATTATTCGTCAAAATATTGGGAGCAATTGAATCTAAATGCAAGCTGATTAGCATTATTAACATTGGTCCTGGCAACGTTTATGATGCGGCAAAGAACTTTGTTGTTATAAATCATTCGGCAACGATGTATAGGAACTTTCAAGAAACTTTGAGACCAGAATTTTAATGTGAGATCGCCTCAGCTTGATCAAGGCCATTTAATTTCTCTTCAATACATAAAATTGATCAAGTCGCCAACACTATTTTAGATTAGCTCCTTCTGGAAACGATAACTATCAATGGATAATTCGCTCAGGCTGTTGTCCACCACGGCATCTTTTCTAAGAAGGTAATGTATCTAAGTTGAGGGTAACTTTCACAAATGGGGTAAAATATACCGGATTTGCAGGGATTCCTTAAAATCGTCGTTAGACAGCAACTAAACATTAGCTTATTTTTTTCTGACGACTATGAAAAATCAATTACGAGTGTTACAGTAATAATAAGTACGAGTGTTCAACTACTGAATGACTGCCCACTGATATTGTTATGATGTCAGTCACATCTCTGAGCATTTATTAACACTAATAACAAAGTCTTGTTGTCAAATACTTCATAAGGCTGTAGCAATCTTGGTGGCGACTTCAGAATTGATGGCCTGCGCAATCGTGGTGCAAGCGACCGCCGGTGCGTCTGAAGCAATCGTTAATTTCGACGCATTACGAAAGTTTGACAACTTCAACAAGTGGAAGCGAAATTAACGATGCTCCTGTTCCATACTAAGCAGCGCGTGAGGCTTCAAGCTAATAAAATGGTGTCGAAAATAACACATTGAATCATACCTAACCCCACTGAGTAAAAATACCTAATGTTTTTCTCAAGCCCACATAAAACAACAAGCTTACAAACTGACAATGTTTGAGAACAATGAAAAGATAGGAGATTAGTTCATGAAATGGAATTCGCAGCGTGTACGAAGGTTGCTAACAAAATGCGGCAGCGTCCGCTTATCAGATTAAAATGTCAGCGTGCCCAAGGAAATAAAGGATTCGAAAGAACCAAACTCTCGCTAACTAACTTACGCGGCGCCAAACGAACGAGCCTGTCGACGCGGAGCGGTCGACCCAATCGTTCGTTCATGTCTGGCCCAAATAAATTGAAAGAATTTGAAAGAAATACAGCAGAAGTGATTTTAAAAATAGGAGAGTTGTTATATAAGAAAATATAAAGTTAATGATATAGATTAATGAAGCAGTAGTTCATAAAATTCGTAATTACCTTTTAATTAGGCGAATGTACATAAAATAAGCTTTAGTAATTTTATCACAGCGGTGCCTGGTCAAATTATAAATTATTCAATGAAGCCGGGTAAATCTATTTCAAATTCACCACTTATAAAACTGATGTGGAAGAGAACATCGAGCCTTGCCGACATCTGGCCTGCCGTGAGATTCATTACATAGCGTCAATTGATACTTGTCCGTCATATATCAAAAGCAAGCGCAATTCGCATCGAAATTCTAGCTCAGTCGAAGCGAATGTAGGCAACTGTACGCGAGCTCGGGGCGCTAATTAGAATGGCATCTCACGTACTCTTCTGAATTTAAATGTTTGACTCTTACACGTCAGGTGTCAGAAGAAATTTCATGCATCAATCACTCTGATAACATTACAGTTTTTGAATAATACATCAAATGAAGTCTGTTACAGTATTACGTGGACATAGGATGAAGAAATTCATTGGGTGAAAAACAGGCATTCGCCGAAGATGAAAAACTAGGGCACCTGTCCTCACATTCTTAATATTAAATAATTAATTAATATTAACTAATTAAATTAATAAATTAATTTATTGTAACTTCACAGAAACACGTGACTCTACAGAGACTGACGCGATTTTGCATAGTCGATGTTTTAGAGCCAGAAAATTGAGATGCCAGAGAAAGTGTTTACAGACAGAATACCGTGATTTCATAGACAAAGTCTTGATTTTACAGACAAAACATTTTAACGTTCCAGATAGCGGCGCTGTTCCAGAAAAAGGTCGTCATGTATATATAACTGATTGATCATTATTTTTAGACAGAAAGTCTTGTCATTGCAAACAGAAGAAAATTGTGATGTTACAGGCAGAAGATTGTGATGTTACAGGCAGAAGATCGTGATGTTACAGGCAGAAGATCGTGATGTTACAGGCAGAAGATCGTGATGTCGTTACAGGCAGAAGATCGTGATGTTACAGGCAGAAGCTCGAGATGTTACAGGAAGAAGATCGTGATGTTACAGGAAGGTAGTCGCAAAAAATTAAAATAAAAAACACTCCGTAAAAAGTGACAGCGCTTCACAAAAATGACGGCAAGACGATCGTAAATTTCGACGCCTATAAATTTCTGAAGCGCTGCCGTGTGAGAGAATTCTGATGAGGTGAAGCGACGCAGGCGCCAGGGACTACAACGGAAATCGTTAAGAGGAAGACGAGGGCGTCATCATATCCACAGAGATCGTCGATAGATTAAATAGCATATTAACACTCAGTCTCACATGTAGCCTCCAAAAAATGAATGGGGCACAGTGTCTAAATAGTGACACACTTAGATCGTCGATAGATTAAACAGCATATTAACATACCCAGTCTCACATGAAGCCTCCAAAAAAGCAATGGGGCGCAGTGTCTAAATAGTGACACACTTAGATCGTCGATAGATTATACAGCATATTAACATCCTCAGTCTCACATGAAGCCTCCAAAAAAGCAATGGGAAGCATTGTCTAAATAGTGACACACTTAGATCGTCGATAGAGTAAACAGCATATTAACATACTCAGTCTCACATGTAGCCTCCAATAAAAATATAACTCAGTACTCACTGCAGTGAGTGACAGAGAGCGCATTTTCTCGTCGACGAAAACGTGAAGTCCTGTCTCTTATACACATCTAGATGTGTATAAGAGACAGCTGTGGCAGCGTCTGGTAACATAGGTGTTGTATCTCTGCAA